TATCAAATAGCCGACATACTTACTAAGCCATTATTGCCAATTAAATTTAAACGGTTTAGGGATGTGTTAATGAACTGAAAGTGATGAACATTGTTGTGCAAAGTTTGAGGGAAGGTGTTGAAAAGTGTTCTGTACAAACTTTGTATAAAGTATCAAGGAGTGAATGTTATATAAAATAATTGAAGTAGTTGTATTCTATAAACAAATTAAAAAGCTTGTCAATATTATTCAATATCTTTGATTTTGAGTATGGTTGTATCAAGATAAGATCCAGGGTACAATTTTCACAACATAGGAGTTTGCATGCAATGTAATTTCCTTATGTTCGATTTAAAAAAAACACATCAATCTATTGAGTAGTTCAAATGAGTAGTAGATACAATTGCTAGCTATTACATTTTAAAAAATACCGCCGTCAAATTTAATTACGAAATCGGTTAGGTTATTGCTTAGAATGTCAAGGAGGACACTTCGAACATTTATTGTAATTGTTTTCGTTAATTTTCTTATTTTCTTTATTTATGTATTGAATAGATCAAATTAGTAGACTACCAGGTGCACATGACCTACAAATAATTGAAGGTTGGTTCACAATGCGTTGTGGTGTTAGCGCGTGCCCTGTGAGGTCAAGTTATTGTAAGTTTAAGAAAAATTTATCCTAAAGTTGCTATGACCTCACATGGCTTCTTTAAAAAAATCTTAGCCAGCGCTCTTCATCATCAAGACTAGGTAGTTGCTGACTTGCTGTTCATAGTCACACAAGTTGCGCGTTTTGCTTGTGGGAATGTGAACCGCGCACACCTCAGATTGATGTGTTTTCTTTTTAAATCGAACCATTGACTAATATTACCTATACCCCCCAGTCAATGATCGAACATAGGGAAATTACATTGCATGCAAACTTCTATGTTCGCATTTAAAAAAAACTCACTGTATAATTGCTACAGTTACTTTTAGTGTAAGAAAATTAGCTTTTTTAGAAGAAAAAAATTATTATCCCATCGGAGAGGTGGGAACTCTTCGGATCTGTATTTGGGTCCCTATCGAGAGTTAACCAAAATTTTAAAACTATATAATTTTTTGCTTCTCTTCCTAATAGTAATAATAATAATAAATTCAATATAAAGTAATAATCGCGGTTAGGTATGCAATTTTGTTTCACATGTAAATAGAATAGAATCATAATTACTGCTTTTCGTATGTATATTCGGAATGAGGTAATTAAGTGTGTCATTGTAATAAAGTAACCGCAAGGAGAGCTTTTAAATATGTCTGTTCAGTACCGAAGTCGAACTGGCGGGTAAAAGAGTTCCTATTCTTATAAACGATTCGCCATAGTACGGATAAGCGCTTACAAGGACGGTAGGTATATAGTGTTGGGGGTGCATATAAATGAAAAGCGTATCAAAGTCCAGTTAGTTCACGGGCAGCCTAAGACGCCGAACCTGGGCTTGTTGATCTTGCGAAGAACACCGCGCAACTTTGAGCCAATCGTCTTGAAAGCGATACCTAGAAGATCAAAACTGTGCCTAGAGCCTAGGCCGTACCGCTGAAGAAGATCTTGGGCAGCACGTTCGAGAAGAGAGCGACTTAACAACATGTTTTCGTATTGCTTAGTTTTTTTATGTACGAGTACAATAGTGTTTGTAGAAATATAAAAGTAAATTTCTTTTAGCACCTGACTGTGATTCATTTGACATTGACTTGGTTTCGTATACGATTATAAATAAAGTTGTGAATATTTTCTACCAATGCGAAGTATGAGTTTGCGAATTGTTTCGCCTCCAACACATTTACTAAAATGTGTTCCCTTACAGCAAAGGCGATATTTTAAGAAACCTAACCTTTGCTCCTTCGAGAATCCGGAAGTCCCATTTGATTGTTGTTTAAATTTTCGTTGACTTTGACAGTTATTTGAACTGTGTAGGTAAGTACTTAATTGTCAGATAATGCTGAAGATTCTATTACGTATATTTATTATAAGTATCAATATAGGGTATTAGATGCCGGATGGAAGTCTTGGTGACGTTGTTATATGCAATAGCAGCTGCAACAAATCGATGGCAAATGGATCGCAGGTTCAGTTTTTCGCTTTTCCAAAAGGTAAGTACTGTATCACAAAAAGAATGGGTTATAGAGTGCAATCGAAAGGGGAACCTGAACTCCGTATGCAATGGACTGTGCAGTCTGCATTTCCCGACCAAAGACTATTAAGATGAAATCAGGGATGAAATGTAAGCTATTTTAAACAAAGTGCGTTTAATAATTCGCTAGCATGTTTCTTTCTATGCAATGCAGGGACTTTTCAACACATCCATGTAAAGTACCATTTCAATCCATTTTGCATTTTTTGAACGTGTTCTGTTGCAGCACAGCCCCTCAATACTAATTCAACAATCACCACTAAACTTGGATTTAGTGCAGCAGCCGGCTAACTCTAAACTATAGAGTCGTGAAGGATCGAAATCCTGCCATGTACAATTGCTACTTTCAAACTCAAAAATTATAGTAGGGCGCCAGATCAAGCCAAAGCATGGAACCCTCTTGATCAAGGAGGATAGGCTCTTCCAAGTAAAATGTATGAACATGAATAAAACTCGTAGATAATTGTGGCAAGAGAAACAGAATATATTTATATTCAAATAAATGACGTTAATGGACAGGCAAATTATACGCAACGAAATGGTATTAATGGTGTGAAGCCCTGATATCTGATTGAACATTAATTAGGAGGTTTCATTCGTTACCACCATGTTATAAACAGTGGCGTGAGTGCCTTAGTTCTGACGTTAGATATACGGGTCCTGGAATTGCTAGCTAGCCCCGCACCCTGAGTATATTACAAGTATGTCCAATGGAGGTTTAACCAAGTTAACCACCAATATAAATTCAACGAATTCCCCTTTACAAGTACGCAATGGAAATGAGGTAAGTATTTGTAATTACATTAAATCATACACAGAACTGGTGAATTATTAGGTACATTTGTTTTTTTTCCAACATATGCCACAAATAAATTAAAGTAGGGTTTAAACATATTAATTATTTCTAAATAGTGATACGACCTTTACTTTCGCCGCAAGGAATGGTAATAGTAGATAAGGATTGGTTTATCAGACCTGCTGGTTTGTAGTGCCGTTGCCCATGACCTTAACCTTAGGTAAAGCCGGGACCGGTGTCTGAGGAAAAGCTAAAAAAAGACGACTTCTACTGCATGCCAAAATTAAGAGGTAACCCTTACCTAGATGTTATAGCTTTATCATTAATTCCCTTAGCCAAAGATGCCTATTACGATAACTCTCACGAATCGTACCAAACTTATAACTATAGTTCTAACGTCCTAACAAGCCTATTTAATATGTACAAGTAATTAAATTCCTAGCATTGTATCTGAAACTTCGAGGAGGATCACTTCTGATCTGAATAATCAAACTACTGAGCCCGGTCAACACGCCAACAACTCTACTTCAGTCGGAAAACAGTAGCAAAATATGGGAGCTAGTAGACAGATCCTGAATATATATCAGTAAATTCTACAATTTATTATTTTAGCTCTAACTAGCCACCCAAAAGCCAATCACTCTCTCTCGATTTTCTACCAAAAATCCGTTGCCTTACCCAAAATTATCACCCAAGGAATGTGACCTTCCAGATAACTAAATTTCCAAAACTAATATTATATACCTGCCTAAATATATGCAACTTACATTGCGCCTATCTAACTACCCTTAAACTATCCTAGATGCTATTTTCAATTGCTACACTGTTGTTGGTCTGGACAAAATGGGATTCTGGGTGACGTCATTCGCGTGTTGGTCTGGACAAAATGGGATTCTGGGTGACGTCATTCGCGTATTTTAATACTCAACGTTTATTGGCTGAAAGTTACGAGGCAACCTATTCTCTTTACTAACCTTGGCTAAGGTCAAAGTCTGAGCCATTGTACCTAAATGATTAATCTAGAGCTAGTAGAACGACTTAAATCCGCCTGTTCACTACCGCTGTCAAATTAACAAAAGTTTTATTCACGGGCGATCAGTCTATATAAACGTAAGTGGATTGTGTGCGTAAAACTGAAATGAGGCCACGGGATAAACACTACGAGAGTATAAATACGGAAATTTCCAGTACCAAAAGGGAGTTGCCCGCCGTCTTTTAACGGAGCAACATCTGTGCCATTCGCGCCCGTAAATTATAAGCACGTTTTCTTGTAATAGTGAATTGAGGCGACATTTTAAGAAAATCAAGAACCGAGCGAAAACATTTCCATCCAGCCACTACATCGAAGGCAAAGACGATCCTTCACGGCACTCCGGAGAAAGTCTGGAGGATTGCGAGATTTCCGAAGAACAGTTCCATTTTCTGTTCTACGCGCGGTCCGTGCACAGTCTACTATGAGGGTGCCGAAAAAGTCGTGTCGAAACCTACCTGCTTGTGATTGGCCGAACCGAACAAGCAGTTTGTTTTGATTTTCGATCTAATTGTATACTAATTTATGAAACAAGGAAACAAGAATTAAGTTTCTTTCTGTACTCGGTGGTTTTAGAGTAAATATTTTGACTTTTGACTAACGTAATAAAGACAGACTTTCTTTTCTATGCAGTGAATTTTTGTGAATGAATGAGTTAACCCTACTTTTACAGGAACGTACCGCCTCAACCCCCATTTCTTTTGACGTGTGTTATTTACAGCAAAAAGGTGATTTTCTAAGAGAAAAAGAACGTAATAGGTTTTAATAAAGGCTTGATTTTTATTCATTTATCCTTTCCCATTTCCTCGAGGCCAGAAAAGGATCATCGATTGAAGTTAGCCGGCGCTCAACAACAATTATTTTATGTAAGAAGAACCACCCCTAAATAAAATAGTTTGAGAAAGAAACGGTAGGAAAAGTTGAAAAGTAACCAGCCGGTTACAGTGTACATGCACTATTTGAACATTCTGACCAACAAAATGTCATATTATAGAAGGATGATTTGTAATAATATTACGCGAACACTTACGTTTTCTTTTCCGGAACAATTGGTTAGAAATTTTTAGAATATTCATCTTCATTGATGAAGTAATGATAGGCATGACATCATTGCACCACTGTTCATACTTATTCTTTTCGTAGTTTTTAATAAGTTTCGCTACTTTCAAGTAGTACTGGAACGCTTCCTTTTTCAAAGTCGAGTCATTTAGTTCCTGTACAGTTTGGAATTTGAGCACGGGCTGCTTCAGCCTCATAAACAACAGTCGCGCCCAAAACATGGCACCAACGTGGGGTGGCATATCCCTGCACAAGAGAGGATGACGTCTATTTCTCTAAAAAAAAGACGATGACACTAGAAGTGCAAATGTCACAACTACCATAAATAGATCTTCCACCATAACGATCTCTTGTATAAATTGTTCCATGATAACGTCGAATTTCGTCAACAGTAAGTCCTTTATGACTTGTCGCGTTTCCATACGGACAAACTTAATTAGCACGTGTAAGGCTTTTTCGGCCAATCTAAAAGAGGTTCATTTCCAAACAATTTTCATCAATGTCATACTCACCTTAACATCTTGAAGCTTTGATTAATAAACGTTACCGCTTCCCTTTCTAAAATTCTGACTTCTTTATAAAAGTCGTTCATGATGGCCTCCCAATTTTCTTTATTTTTCGACAGGAACAGGTCGAAATCGAGATTTTCAATGGGGACCACTAAGTTATCGACTCTTCTAGTTACTTGATCAACTTTTTGCGGATCGATAACAATCGCCCTTAGCTCCGGTCCAAATATGTTATTGAAATGTACCATTACCTTTCAAATAGTTATGAGAACACCGAAATTCAATTCAAAAATTCTTACTGTTGCGACCTCATTCAGATTTTCAGCAACGCTCGCAATGAACTCGGTATTGTCGAAGAGCTTGTGCCTGTTAAATTCCCATCGCTGACCTTTTCCAGAATTTTCTATTTTATTCCTAGTATCCATGTAGCAAATGTACCAAGTGCGTAACATGTCTCTGGCGTCTCCTGTCTCTTGGCGAATTTCCGAAACGGATTTTCTGAAATTAAATTGCCGTCCTGTTCATTGTTTAAACGATTAAACATTTTCTCGTTCACATAACGAAATATTTTGGATTAAGCGGGCTCTTCGAATACCCTCTTTAGCTTTCATTGCTTTTAACGTACGTTATTGCCCATGGTGTATTGGTAAATTACGGTAAGGGTATATGCGGGCGTTGGTTTAGGAGGGTGGGAGAGGAGGGCGGTATCAATGAGTGATTTTCATTTTTACAAAGCAGTACATACATATGTACCTATTTTAAATTGTTATAACAGTAGATATTTGAATTTGCCACAACATGGCGGACAGGCTCTGCCACTGTCTTGTATAGAGGCACATAAAACAAGGTCACCTCTTATGGCCATTTGCACCGGCAAATTTAAGCTTATCTTAAGCGTAGCTTAAAATCCATGGCAACGATTATTGAGACAATGGTTGCTATGCTTAAGCTAAGCTCCACTTAAATTTGTCAGTGCAAACGGGCATTAGTTATGTAACCAGTCAATCCACCTTCACCAAGATCACGACTTTTTTCGCCGCGGAAATCCCAGTGATGTAACCGGAGAATCCTTATCACCAAGTCCCCGACCAAAACCAGGGAAATCCTAGAGCACGAGCTGACACCGGAGAATCCTATATCAAGGCCACGTCTTTGGTCCAAAATCCAAGATGGCGGAGGGTGTCCCATTTCTACTTTTACGTTTATGCCTTATGGCATAAAATATGCATTATGCTTTCCTTATATAAATTAGTGCTATGGATTTTACGGAATGTTGCAACAGGTGGTCGCTGTAAGCTTTAAAGATTTTTTGTTAAATTTACAAATGTGCGGGTATAGGAAATTTTATACGTGTACCATATATTAGTATTATCGCGTAAGCGTGCTCTTATTTAAATAAATTGTTACCACGAAATCGTTGAGGTCCAAGGTGCAAAACGTTTCATTGCGCTATATTAATGCGTATGTCTTAAATTTATGTCTCGTATTTGTAAACTGGTTTTCGTAAATTGGAATTTATTTTAGGCTTTAAAATGCAAACGAAATTATTGCCCGATTCATATATACAAGAGGGTTTCCAACCTCTAAATGTAACTAAGCCGTTACAATCTGTTAGTAATAATACTTGCCATAAATACCCCTCAAGCGTATTACCTGAATAATGTTTCCGTATTTAACGCAATTTTAGTTTTCTCACAGAGGCACCAAGATATTCTCTCAAGCAAAGGCACCATTTGCTCATCGGTGCAATAGTACCGAGATAATACCCACACCATATGCAATCCGTCCATGAGACTGGGCAAGCATTCGTTAACCTTTTTAAAATCTTCACTGAACGTTACAGTCTACAAGTGGCTTGTTTAGTGATGCAGATTTGAGTGCCTTTACCTTACCTTGAAATGTCTTAAAACCGTAAATAAAATTTTAACATTATCCCGTGCTTGGATGTAGTATTTCATCAATTCGTTTTTATAATGATCGAAGCCATTACTTATATCCGATTGCGCCATTTTCAACAATTGTAGTATTCGTACAAGTGTTGGTTTTTTGAGCTGTTCAACTAGCTTACTTAAAGCCGCCTCGCGTTCTCGCCAATAATCGTATTCGGGTATAGGCCCGTTTCCGGATGGCACCTGTTTCAACAAATAGTACCTATTGGGGAACAGTTATAAGAGTCACACCTTAGTCAGCGAAGTTTCGATAACTTTCATTATATGTGACTCCCACGACATTATAACGTCCTCCAACGCTTCAACTCGTGACGTTTCTTGAATGAATGTCTCATCGTCTAGATTGAATAAATCGGGTATTTCGCCTAATGGTAACTGAATATCGTCTTGGACGTGCTGTACAGTCCTGAAACCCCATCGATGGAGACTACTGCCCATTATTGTAAAAATAGTTACCAGTCTAAAGCTTTAATAAAATCCCATAAATCGTTTAGAAATTCTGATTTGGTCGGGGTAGGCTCAGAAGACGTGTCCATACTTTCAACGGCGATTGGTTCGGTTGAATTTTGAGATTGTTGCATTGACTTTTGAATAGACAACGATAATCTTCGATAATCGGAGGGTCGTTTGAAATCAGTTGCAAGTGCGCCAGATGAAATCGGTTCAGCTTTGACGTCTCCTGTATCTTGCCTCGGTTTTCGTTTTTTCAACGATGCCGGTTCCTTGAATTGGGTTTCGACAAGAGGCACGTACACCTGTAAATATGCAAATCCTTACGGACAGTTTATTTGTATTACGACAACTAAGTACGTCTCTTGTAAGCAGATGAAGGGAGGTTAGGAAATTTGAGTTGCAGGAGCCTATCAAAAAGTAACTGGGCATTTCAGCGAGCGCGTCTTCCCAAGTATCAAACATTGGGACAGGTTCCGCCGTGTTTCTTAAAAAGTAAATGATTTGCTTGCATTTACTCAGTCTATCACATGTGGCGCCAAATGCAGCTTGAATTGTGTAATCCACTTTTACGGTTTGTATAACTTTCTGAAATCAGTAGTGAGTCGAAAAGGCAGGATTCATACTAAGTAATACTTACTCTTACGTAAACAATTTCTGGAGATTTTGGCGGCGGTTCTGAAACAAACATTTGAATAATAATAAAAGTTTCACATAATGAGAGGTATGTTGGGCCTTCATGTTGGATAGACATTGTGAATCTTCCAGGAAAACCTGTACTTACCTACAGGTTCCGCATTTTTGACACCTTTCCGTTTTTTGCCGGAATCTGAAAACCGTATTAAACTATATTTTTATAGGAACGCATTGCAGTGTACCTGGTCTTCCTGCTTGGGAAACTGTCTCTTCCTCCCTGATTTCTTCCTCATCTTCTTCTCCTTGGTCTGATTGAATTTCAGTTTCTACAAAATAAGCTATCAGCAATTGTCTTAAAAAACTACGTATGTACCAAATTGATGCAACTTGTAATTTGTAAGATAATAATCACAAACTAATCAAAGACACTGTCCATCGTAAAAACTAAATTCATTTGCAATATTACAAGGATTGCGAAAGGTGTGGGTACTTAGCACACGTGTAAGTAGGTACTGTGGCGAGTCTTAGGGCTAATGTGCTATAATTCATTTACCACTCATCTTGTCTTGGACTCAGATCTTAGCTCTTATATATTGTGTATGTTAGGTCTTAAAATTTTAAAACCGCCATTGTCACTTCGAAAGCGCTGTAACCAGAAATACGACACAAGCAACCTTGGACACAAGCGAACTACTCAATTACGTCGTCTGATTGGTCGGCATGGTTGGCCACTAGCGTGCGAACCCGACCACCTAAATACCGGTCACAGGTTTGTAGCACTGTAACGTTACGCGGTTAGTCGTTGAGCTTGAGTGCCAGCGTTAGAAGGAGCAACACTAATCTTAGGAGAGCTCTTTAAACTATTTTTCGACATTTACTGCAGTTATTTTCCTAACACGATTTCCTAAGGAAGGAAAGAACGACCTAACCTTTCTATTTCAGTTCAAGAAGCCTGTGGTCGTCGGTGGGTGTTTAGAGCGCTTCCGGTTGACGCTAGCTGTATCCTCCGGTTTGAAGGGGGCTCTTCAAGCACTTTCCGTAACTGAGATAGAATCTTATCTCCTGCTGCGGAAAACAGTCGCGCAAGAAGCCATCGAGAAAAACGCGATTCAAGTCATCCCGCCATCAGGCGCGCCGATGGAAGAAGAGGGCTTCCACCCTGCAGTACCGAAACATCTTAGCGAGACTGGTAGCCGAGTTCGATAACGCCTCGTTGCAGATACCCTTCTACAACGTCAACGGACTAATGGGTAAGTGACTCAAACAAGAACCTTGGATTTACAAGGGAAGAGTAAGAGATCTGGGTTAGGTGGTGTCACACTATGCGTTTTTACCGCTCCCGCTAAAACGCTCCTGTTTGACGGGATGATAATATCACACGTTATTAAATGGTACTAGTCACATATATGCGTTTTCGCCGCACCAACCGGATGCAACCGCATCCTGCTGCCGCTGCGCAGGATGACATGACAACCCCAATGACATGAAACCACGTGTTGTTGCACGTTGGTTGTCATCAGTTGTCACACTGAACGTTGCAACCGGGTGTTTTGTTAGGTTTACAATGTTTGATGTCGGTTTATTCATCGAGTGCGTGCATGCAAAAACTGCACTGTGGGAAAAACAATCTAAAGAGTATGTAGATAAAAGCTGTAGGGAGAAATCATGGGTAGAAATTGAATTTTTGGACATTCGGTAATATACAAAAAAATTTTTCTTGTTCATTCGAATTTTTTCATAAAACTTCGCGAACCTATTATTAGATTCTCGTCCTGAATTAAAAGGATCAATCTAATATTGACAATATATCTGCTTTCGCAATAGCCCCTCCGCCTCAAGCGCACAAACCATCTTTAACAATAATTGAGACATGACACTACTTAGACTGCCAAAATATAGCAAAAACGCATCCCGTTAAACCTGAATAGTGTGACAAGTAGATCTCATCCTGTCAAACCGCATCCGTTTTAGCGGGAGCGGTAAAAACGCATAGTGTGACACCACACTTAGGTGGAGGACTATCTTTATTATAAGAGGGAACTGAACCCGAGGACTTGCATTTATGTTGATAGACGAATCGAGTCCAATCTAATGTACCTAATCTAATTTTTGTTTCAGGGGTCTCGTAGCTCTACGACTTCAGCTGAAAGATGGCAAGGGACCGAGGTACCTGGTTCTAGACGGACTTCTCCGCACCCTAACGAGGGGGGGGGGGGGCGTATACACATGGATACGCAACGCTTCCTGTAAACACGGGGCGATAAGAAAGGAGAAATTACAAAATATGTTTGGCAATATCTCGTTAAAGGGTTAATCAAAAACATCGACAGTTATTCTTTTACATGCAGATGTTAATGCTCTTCAATAACCTAAATAGATTATTGCTCTAAAAAAATTAGGGAAGCCAATAGTTAACCTCCTTCAAATTTACATGGAATTTCCTGTCCCGCCTGTCCATGCAACACGCTGTATATTTTCAGTGCAACGGTGGGCTAATGAAAAGGTATCGTATCCTCATGTAAACAGTTCCATGTGAACCAATAGCCCATCAGTCCCCTCAAAGGCGTAAAATTTCCGGGCGATTGGGACCAGCGAGAGACCAAAATTTAGTCGCTGATACTGTATGCGAGAAGTATGCGTGTGTGAACGGCTCCATAAGACGCAATGTTACTTATTATGCTACGTTTACACTCTTCCGTTCAAAGCGACATTCAACGGGCACGATCACGAGCACGAGCATGTAAATGGGTTGCTCGCCTCTGCTCGCTATTGCTTGCCTGCTTTTGCCTGTGCTCGTCATTGATCCAGACTAGTGTCGGTTTTTCGACAAAGTTCAAAGGGTAAACTGTTTGCGCTCGTGTACCTGTTTACATGCGTTGACGGGCTTGGTGCGATTTCTATAAATTTGTATCATCCACCACCTTCTCCGAGCTTTTCGTCTCTTTTCAATTCGTCGTTGTTGTTTTTTCCAATAAAAGTACGTATGTCAAACCGAACGGAACAGCTGCAATAACATCTACGTCCACCATGTTTGGTTGTGAGCTTGTTCTGAGTTGTGCTCAGATGCGTGTGAACAGCTTGCTTTGTACGCGGGGATTCGCCGAGCAGCTTACCGAGATGCTTGCCGCGCGTGTAAACGTAGCATTACAGGTGTATCCGAGATACCAGTCTGCGGAACATGGACCGCTTCATAGCGAACGTGAACGAAAGTATTTCTCGCGATAACCAGCGATAACAAGAAATGTATTGCGGAAAGCGAGCGCGGTTGCCACGATCTCTTGGGACCTGCGGGAGTCCGTTCTATTTAAAACCGGGCACGTGACCAAAATTCAGGTTTACAATTCGTTTAAAATACAGTCAAGTTCTGAGCGCTCAGAATGGAAAGCCCATTTCAGTATTTCTACCGGGCAAGCGCATGATTCAAATAGCGAAAGTAGTGGGAGAGCGAGAGATTCTTGCCAGAGTGAGTCTAAATGTACTATACTTACGGGTAACAATTATATTCAACAACTAACTAACGAACGATCTATTACACCGTTTTTGCGTGAATTTTGTTTATAAAAGATTCCGATACATTAATGTTTTGTGCATGTTTGTTTTGGAGAAGACAAATGTATGCGAAAACGTAGTAAAAGCGAGATAAAAATGAAAATTCTTTTTCCTTTTACTTGTCAGAAAAACACATTGATAGATTTGTTAAACAACTATTAAAATCTCAATGCTACACTGATCTATACAAAAATATTGAACAAATCAGTGTTGCTATTTACCTCCACAGTTTGTTGGGTAGATTTTAGGAAATAGTTATTTACATAATAAGTCATGAAAGTGGACGTTTACATGACGCGGGGGCTTATTGAAAAGTACGAGGACGCCCAGCGTCCGAGTATCTCTTTAATGCCTCCAAGTGAGGTGGACTCACTTTCATGACGTATTATGTATAAAATTTTACCTGAAACGGCAACATGTAGATAACTTTTCCAAATTAAATTATTCATATGTGTGAAATTTTGATACCTAATCACGCATGCTAAAATCACTTTATTTAATATTGTTTTCATAGAGATTTCAAAATAATTAAAACAATCACGGCCAGTTGCAAGAAAGCGAATTATAATCGAATTCTAATCCAAGTTTATGCCTACTATAATCCCTGATTACGTTGGTTTTGGGTTGCATGAACCTGTAATCCTACATTTGTCATTGATTAAATCAAAATTATTCTAATTCGTCAAATCGGAGAATTAAATTGGAATTATAACGGCAGAACTAGGGAATGCAATCCCGCGGCAAAATTTTGATCCCGGTATTTGCGGGACCGTTTATGTTAATCCCGCGGGATCCCGCAAAATTTTAAATGTATTGGGAAATATGCAATTTTATGCGGATTAACCGAATATTCTCCAACAAAACATATCGTATTTCCCGGAAAGGATGCGTCACATCCGCTTTCGGCCTCCACGTTTATCTGGATTTCTAGAATATTCACTTATAATTGCACAAGAGGTTTGTATTTTACCGACAATTCAACTCATGTATAAAAAATCGCATAAGCCGCAGTGAAATTGTCACTTTGACAGCGGCAAAAGTTACCTGCAACTTTTCCAGCGACAAATGCACTAGTGGTTTTTTCACTTATTCATTTTCGAACCAATTATCGCATTATCCTTTCCCATATGACTAGTTTGACGTCTGTCAGTAATTGATTAGTTATGTGAATTTCTTGTTCGTTAAATTGTCCTGCCGAATTACACTCGAGGTTTGTATTTAAACCGAGTAAATTTGTGTTGTTGCAATTCAAATCTGTTGCCTTTTAGCAATTGAACTCGAAAAACTGTCAACCTAAAAATGCTCCACCTGCGGTGTCGCATTTTTATTAGTTGACAGTTTTTCTCGTCTAATTACTAGGCAACAGATTTTCATTACCTAAACAACCCAAATTTACTCGGTAAAATACAAACCTCTTGTGCAATTATAAGTGAGTAAATTTGGGTTGTTTAGGTAATGAAAATCTGTTGCCTAGCAATTAGACGAGAAAAACTGCCAACTAATAAAAATGCGACACCGCAGGTGGAGCATTTTTAGGTTGACAGTTTTTCGAGTTCAATTGCTAAAAGGAAACAGATTTGAATTGGCACAACCCAAATTTACTCTGTTTAAATACAAACCTCGAGTGTAATTCGGCAGGACAATTTATCGAACAAGAAATTCACCAAACTATTCATTTATTGACAGACGTCAAACTAGTCATATGGGAAAGGATAATGTGATAATTGGTTCGAAAATGAATAGTGTAAAAACCACTAGTGCATTTGTCGCTGGAAAAGATGCAGGTAACTTTTGCCGCTGTCAAAGTGACAATTGCACTGCGGCTTATGCGATTTTTTATACATGAGTTGAATTGTCACTACAATTAATACAGCCATACTGTACTACTAAAGTTTTTATAAACCATCGACGAGTATACAGGGTGTTTTAAATTGAGTAGGATAGTTATCTCTGTTATTGTTATACTTACAGATTTGGTTAAATTGGCAAAGTTGTGTAGTTTTTGATGCTGGTGGATATTTCGACGCCATATTTTGAAAAAATAATTCGTTTCGTAAATAATTGGAAAAAAAGTGAAAATCGCCATTTTTAAAAAGGTCAATATTTTAGTAACAAAGAGAGCTATCGAAGAAAGTTTCAAATAAAAGTTGCAAGATTCGATCGTATACATTAAATGGACGTAGAAAAAAAATTTTCAAAATGGCGGTTTTCGAGATATTGATTTACGGAGGACCTGTACGTACGTATCTGCAAATCTCCGTTACGCGTTTTATTAATAAATTTTAAACAACGTCCTAAATTTTGCAATCCCGCAAATCCCGCGGGATCCCGCTTAATTTCTGTACGGGATTAATCCCGCAAAAATGCTGCGGGATCCCGGTATTTCGCGATCCCGGTATTGCATTCCCTAGACAGAACGTAGAAATGTCAGATAGGTACATCATTATCAAGTCTGGAAAGCGACAATGATGAATTGGTTTTGCCTAGGCCAAGACTTTTTAGAGACAGGGCAAATCCAATGGAAAATTATGATGATCTCGATTTCAAACAGCGCTTCCGATTTTCAAAGACCCGGTACGGAAAATGTTGGACCTTGTTGGGGAGAATTTGAAAATGAGTATTGGGTTTCGATGCAGACTTGAGAGGGCGTTAGCAATTTTTCTCCAAGTATCATTTTTTTTCTCGCACGATGGTCCATTTGTTACCTTACTTTCTACTATTGTTGAAAAACTGAACTGTATAGGTATATTATTTTCTTATCATCAGTTATACATAAAGAAATTATACCAACAGATTTAACACTACGCTATCACCTCACAAACGTCAAATTAGTGTTGTGTCAAAATAGGGGTGAATTCACAACGACCTGGCGTTGGATTATAATAATTCTAGAATTTCAAAATCTAAGATTCGATTAAGTACGAGAAACCCGATCGTGGACTAATCTCGGCTTATATGTAACTCCGGATTTCCTAATTCATGTATATTCCAACCGTCTTGCAACCGGCTGTCAGTGTCATTTTTAATGCAGTTTGCAGTTTATGCTTTGTACTTTTCAACTATACAGTCTTTATAGCTATACTCTGTTTTTTAACTAGGAAGACGGATTTAAAAGTTCCCGCAAAAAATCTTAGTTTCTATTGGCTCCCGCTGCGCCCGTTTTACACCCAGGTAAAGTTGCTATTGACATGATTTAACTGTCAAATTTAATCGCGATTCTCGTACGTAACTGTTGTACTTATTTTTGAGTTTTTGTGTGTTCTGAGTCCATTTGCATAAATTTTAACAAAAAAAACAGTTCTTTTAAGAACTAAAGTTGATATTTCGCGTCCTAAGTGTACTGAAATCCACATAGTCTGCATTATGATTATCCAATCGTTGATTGAATAACATATTCAATGAACGATATAATTGTTATTTTGCATGTACTAGGACTGTAATGGGAGTCAGGTAAAAATATTACACTACTAGTCAGGTAAAGATCAACTTTCTAATGTCAAAATAGCCCTGAAATTTAGATTTTCTTGACGGTTTCAGGTAAATTATATGAATTTGCTGTTTAATGGAAATGGAACAAAAGTTCATTGCCAACCGATAGTTGAATTTATTTTGAGATCGAGGATGTTTTATTTACCTATCCATTTTACGTGCCTGATACCCATTTACAAACTAGTATTTTCTTCCAGCGGGGTAATTAAGGGTTTCATTTAATAAATAAATATTGTTGTTTTATTTACTTATCTTATTTTTTTTATTTCTCGAGGCAAATCTATCCCCAAAGATCATTCCCCGCCTAAAAATTGGCGCTGTACAGTGTGAATATAAATAGTCTCCTCCTTCTGAATTGGAAACGGCTTGAGATATCGATTTGAAATTAAGGTTAAGATATTCTTTTTGACATGAAATTTGCAGTTTCACTTTTAAGCTAGGGTAGTTACAATATTTAATTATTATAATTGCCTTCGAGGAAACTGGACTTTTTTTCTGTTTATCTAAAAACTTATCAACTTTTAGCGCACTTGCAATTCGAAATAAAATCAAAAACGTCAAAATAATTCCATATAATTCCAAATAATTCGAAACAAGTAGGTATACTTAAATTGTGCACAACTCTTGTGCAGATAAAGCGCATTTTTTAAACCAAAATAGCTTAGTTGGTCTCCAAAAGGTCGTCGAAGAAAGAAAATCAATTATGGTTTTTTTTTAATTTCGAAAGATTGCATAATGTACGCAATCCGTCGAAAAAATAATTTGGCATTGAAACTGCGCACAACAAACGAAATGCGACATGCGTTTATTATTTTGCCGCCCGATTTTACGATGAAATTTTGCAGATGGATTCTTTATCAAATTTCTAGATCGGAGAAATCACTAAAGTTTATAATTTTGCTGTGTCTGTCCGTTTATGCGTCCGTCCGTTAGTACGATATCTCGAAAACGAGTGGACCGATGAAATTCTGCAGGTGGATTCTTCAGCAAGTTTGTAGTTCGTTGTAGGCCAAAAAATAAGGATATATTTATATATATATATATATTTGATATCTCCGTTAGTTATTAACCGAATGGCATGAAATTCAATATGCCTATAGATTTAGCCATATAAAACGCAATTCCAAAAGTTGAACCTAATCGATCAACATTCACAGTGCCCTTTTCGCATCGCGACCATTTATAAACAAAATTGCAAACTTTCTTAGCATTTAAATAAAATTTTATGCATAGCCATTTGGAATAAAAGCAAATGTAACGTCAGTTTCAAAATTTGGTTTTGCGCGTGCGCAGTGCCAACTTTCTTATGTATGGATTGATTTAAATGAAATTTGATTCTTAGGCACTTGGAAATTGGAATAAAAGCAAATCTAACACCAGATTCTTATGCCCATGCTATTGCCATACTCATTTACGTCTCTAAACCACGCTTTGTTGCAAATCTAGTGCGATATAGTTTGATTAAAAGAAATGGATATTCACACTACGCAAAACGCGCAAAGCTAGCTTGCCTATAAAACGCTAAAGCTGTAAATGATAATTTTACCTGATTTAAATTCGCTTTGGGGAGGGGCTGCAGGTTCTGGTTCCGGTGTTTGAACTGAAAAGTATAAATAATTAGAATGTAAGCAGGGATTAGGTAAATTTAGGTTTAGGTTTGAAGATACCGTGGTTTGAAGCTATTAGATTTATTATAGTTTCGCGTTACTTTCAGAAAGATTTCTAATTTCTGTCTAAATGTGGGTAACCCCAATAACATGGGTAGGTACTTATTTTCGAGGATAAACCCTGATGTCTTTGTCTTGTAATCAATGTCCTTGTGAATTTGTATTCGATTGTAGGTCTCAGAGACTCGGTACTCATCAGCACATGACCAAAAGATATTTGTGATGCAGGTTGCGTTGTTCACGTTGACAGTCAGCAAGTAAATAGGATTGATGTGAGATTCAACTGACTGTCATGTCAATTGTCATGTATCTTGACGAGAAAAAGTTACCCCGTCACGCGTTTATACAATTTACATTGTTTAATACCATGGCAACTGTTAGATTCTCACATTCTAAAATGTACGCACAAACGGTAACTTACCGATTTCTGGAACTAAGATTTCCTCCTCGGTAATTATGTCGAAGGGTATTCTATAAAAATAAACCAATTTCTTTTCCATGTCATCAGAACGAGTAACACTCCGGCTTAAAAAATGGTACAGCTCATCCTCTATTTCTTCGTGGGCTTTTAATAACTTCTCAAAATAATCGCCATTTGACAGACCCAAGGATTTGGTGACTCTCTCCCTGAACCATTCGAATCGTATATCGTCCATTTTAAAATATGTGAAATGGAAATTTACTTATTCGTTTACAACGTTAGACTACAGTTTCTATATTAAAAAGTACAAACGTGACATAAAACTTTTGACAATAAACGCAAACGAAATACTCCATGGAGACTAAATTAGACTCCATGGAAACCGTTGATGGAAACCCAAACAAGCAAATGGTTACTACAATAATCTGAATGTTTCTGCTTCTTATGTTAATGAAGTACTTAATTGATATAAAAGTAATCGTATCGTATCGATCTTGTACGTGGGTACCTATCTAAACTATCAATTTTTCCCAATTAAGTTACTTCGGAAATTTCAGAAACGGAAACGGAGTAACCATAGATAAAAAAGGACAACAAGTAGTCTAGGCTAAATAGCTCTAAAATAATTTATTTTAAAAAAAATTAGTTACCGAGCTAAACCGGGTTTTTCAGGCAGGTGAAATGAATAGAAATTGGGAAAAAATAATTATAACTAATAAATGTAAGTCGTTACGAAAATTTTGCTACCCCGCGCACCTCTGTACGATGAAAAAAATAGATTTTTCACCCCTTTGAAAAATAGGTGGTTTTTTCAGAAATCGTGAGATCTTGGAAACGATTCAACTTTACAGGCCCAAAAAATTATCTTCTTTTTTATCATAAAACAAGCTACGTTTCCTCCAAATTTCAAACCCCTACGACACTTTTTCGCAAAAATAAGAAAAACGAAAAAAACAGTTTTTCCGGTTTTTCTAGGAAAATTGGAGGTAAAAGAGGAAAAGGAAAAGAGGAAAATAGTGCAGATATACAAAAGTTGCCCATTTTTTTAATCTCTATAACTTTTACATTTAACATTTTAGGCTAAAATTAATAGTTTTGCCACAATTTTCCACCCCTTTCAACCCCCGGGATTTCACCCGTGGAAAAATTCAGCTGTTTTAATTATTTTTCCCCAATTTCTATTCATTTCACCTGCCTGAAAAACCCGGTTTCGCCCGGTAACTAATTTTTTTTGTCAAACATATTATATAGCCTGGACTATTGCATTCATTTCCCATTTGTAAAATGCAACTTCTGTTAAAATCGTAAAAATCCGGCCACAGATATGAAAGATAGCTTTGCATAGGTGCAATCCATTTTTAACGTGCTCTACTTCAATTTCGGTCTATAAGAAGAATTTCATTATAATGCTTTTCTAAATAAGAAAGTTGGAACTGCGCATGCGCAAACTTAAATTTTGAAACTAACGTTAGATTTTCCTTTGTTCCAAGCGCCTATGTATCAAATTTCATTTAAATAATCATAATAATAATAATGTGTTTATTTCCACATAATTAAATGCTTCCATAGATAAGGAAGTTGGCACTGCGCATGCGCAAAACCAAATTTTGAAACTGATAAAAGAACAGACGGACAGACCGACAGACAGCAATACAAAATTATAAACGATCTCTAGGATCGTTAATAAAAGGCAAAAGCGTAAAATTATGGATCATGTAAAAACCGGTTTTTTAGGTTTTTTTACAATTTTTGAGCAATAAACGCAAAAAAAATTCCTACCTTGGTGCAAGCCTCGACACCATAACGTACCAAATAGCGGAAAAAGTAGAACGATAGCTCTTCAGATAAAGAATTAGTAGCGTCTCAAAGAACGAGCGGACGGACGGATAAAGTGGCCACAATAGCGCATTTTTATTCACTTTTGTGGAAATGCGCTAAAAACTGCACAGCAGTAGAATTAAATGTAAAAGAAATCACTAAAGTAAAAATCAACTGTCGAATTTAACGCTTTGAACTCCTAGTGAGTTTATAATTTTGCTGTGTCTGTCCGTTTATGCGTCCGTCCATTAGTACGATATCTCGAAAACGAGTGGACAACTGCAGATGGATTCTTCAGCAAGTTTGTAGTTCGGAGTTAGTGAATTGGCAATGTAGGCCAAAAAATAACGAAAGCCCTTTTGTCGTCGTTAGTTATTAACCGAATTGCATTAAATTCCAACTGGGCATATAACTTACGCAATGCCCAAAGTTGAGCCTAATCGATTCAACATTCACAGTGCCTTTTTAGACCAATTTTGTAAATTTATTGGTCAAAAGGTAGCTTGTAATCTCGCTTTGGCTGGCGGGTAGCAATTGAGGGCCCGTAGAAGAACCTTTGTAGAAACCGCGGCCGTGTAATTAACAACTTTAGGAACGGAGCTACATGGTGTGAGGTCGGCGTTGGACGCCGTCGGCGAGCGTGGTTTACTAAAGCCTAACTCACACTTGGCTACTTTACTAGCAGCTATCGAAGTAGCGGCTACTAAGTAGCTATAGTGTGACATAGGTAGTATCAGCTACTAACAGTATCGCGCTAGTTAAAATTCACTAGCATCAAGAATCAAACATGTTCAATTTTCCGAGCTACTAAGTCGGGCGAAAAAGTCACGTGAGCAACTAGCAGCTAGCAAGTAGCATCCTGTCACGCAGTGCGACACACTAAGCTACCGGTTAGTTGCATCAGCACGTGCTCTCTGTGTTTGCATACGATTCGGAGTCTTGAGTGCATTTGTTTGTGTAAAAAGTGAAAACTTGAGGTACCTACTCTTGAATGTTTTCTCATCAGTGTGGCTAATCGGCCCAACCTATTTCTTCTTTTGATCCATTGCGGAATCCAGAGGCGTTTCTTTTTGTACCTATCGTAAATATTTGATAAAATATTATGAGGCGCCATTTGTACCATAATTATATTTCTCACGAATATATAAAATATATCTAGCATTTTTATATATTTGCATTAAAAGTTTTAAATATATAAGAAATTAAGTTTTATATATCTGCATCGATGAAATATATAAAACTTCAGCTTCATGTGTATCTATCACTGGTGGCGCTACAGTAACCTAAAACTTTAAAGTCACTAGATATAGAAAGTACCGCAATCATCCGCCATTTTTGGGCAAATTTGCTGCCAACTTAAAAAAATTGACAAATAAAATCTGAATAGCTGTCATTTTTTATAACCTAACTTCATAGTACTGTCATGTTTTATAAAAATATATAAGTACAGATATCTCCAAACAGGTGGAACAAACCCTAACATTAAAGTTACTAGAATCTGGTAACTTCCGCCATTTTTGGGCAAAAATCATGCGTTCTCTCTCTAACACACGTGCCCAATGGATTGCGGTACTTTCTATATTTAGTGACTTTACTCAAACTTAAAATCTAGAGACTTTACTCAGACTTTATAGAGACAGTGGCGACAATAGGAGTTCGGCCGCCATTTTGCGTCAAAAAGTTGGCAACACACAATACACGTAGGCATGTGTGGCATACGCCGCAATTTCATATTATTTTATTTATTTATTTATTATACCTCTCTTGTTTTGGGCCCTCAACAGGCATGCGCCCAATTACAGAGTGACCCGCATAATGCTATTTAGAGGTGCCTCTGCAGAAGGTCTTAAGATAGTAGGGGAGCTAGCACGAAATCCACTGAACGAGAATGATCAAAATTTTAACCGATGGAGTTCCATTTTGCCCTATCAGAGTATGCTAAAATCGATCGTCTGCCGCCTCAGGTCATATGACTTAAGGCGCTGCGGGTACTTCTTGTGGTACCAATTCTGAAAGGTTGTTTTTCGAGAAAATAAGTTATACACTAAATGAAAACGTTGATAATAGCTCTTAAAAAAACATTTAAAAAAATCGCGCACATTTGATAACTCCGTAAGAAAACAATTCTTAGTCGGTTTTTCACGAACTTTGTACGGATATAACTAGGTTACCGTTGGAAGAATGAAGCTGATTTTTTTTACAGACTAATGGTAGGTACAGCCAATGACTATGAGAGTGTTTCTTTTTTAAATTTTTTCTCTAATTATAAGATATCTTATAATGTTAAGCTAATAAGATAATCTTGTAATTAGAGACAAAATTTAAAAACGAAACACCGTTAAGTCATTAGTAGTACCTATCATGAGTTTGTAAAAAAAATCAGCTTCATTCGTCCCACCGTAACCTAGTTATATCCGTAGAAAGTTCGTGAAAAACCGACTAAGAATTGTTTTTTTACGGAGTTACCAAATGCGCGGGATTTTTTTAAATATTTTTTTAAGAGCTATTATCAACGTTTTCATTTGGTATATAACTTATTTTTTAGAAAAACAACCTTTCAGAATTGGTACCACAAGAAGTACCCGCAGCGCCTTAAGTCGTATGACCTGAGGCGGCAGACGATCGATTTTAGCATACTCTGATAGGGCAAAATGGAACACCATCGATTAAAATTTTGATCATTCTCGTTCAGTGGATTTCGTGTTAGCTCCCCTACTATTAGGGAGCAGTCAAAATACCGGCGCTGCGCGCGGTGGTTACGTTCATATATACTCTTATATATATGGTTGCGTTACGCATATTGTGAATGACTATTTTCTAAATGTTTTCTTTGCAGGTGAAGGAAATGAAAAGACAGTAATATCAAGAAGAACGGATTATTACACTTATTAAATACTTAAAACACAAAATTCCTCTCCAATCAATTTATTACAAAATAATTATTGGTCTAAGCAAAAGACGTATAATTCTGATTTTCGCTACCATTGAGTAAGTCTAATTGAAAACACTTTTTGATCATCCCACAGGTCACACATCAGTGGGTTCAGCATCATATCTTTCAACTTCCACAGCTCCGCCTGAGTGGATGGTCCAGATTCCATCAACTGCTTTCTGAAAACCATCCTTTCAATTGAACGTCAACATAATCTCTTCGCTGAATCCAACTCATAGAAATTGTTCGATGGGCTATTACACTGCGAGTCGAATATGATATCGCGCTTCACAACAATATCCTCAATTGCTGCCACATTGTCACACATATTAGGTTCCGCCACATTCGTTTTCAGCTATTTTTGGATGCCTTTGTCCTCCAATGCTAATTGCACGCGGAAATACAATTAGGTATTGAATTCACGGCCATCGGAACACAAATTTTTCATCGTCTGCCTCTGGCACTGCACTGCAGAAGTCGCTAATGTCAGGCTGTCATCTGTCATGACACTATTTTCTGTTAAGCGCGGTTTAGACGCTACGATCTTGGTTTCGATAAATCGTAACGATCTGATTGTCCAATTTATCGTTCAATAAATCGAAAGAGTGCGTACTGTTTACATGTAACGATTTCTTGTTCCAATCTCATTGTCGATCACGGTTTAGGTAATACAGTTTTTATTTTTTTACTTTTCTACTTGTCTTTTGGTTCTGTCCACTAATATAAATTATACTCGCACTTTATTGCTTACATTGCTTGCTTACAATAGAATCTTAATCTCGATTATGATTTCTGAATAGCCATTCGTCGCTAAATATTTTTTTTTGGGTTGCCAAACTTGATCGCCACTCGCCAAATGTAAAACGTGTGCGCTAGAGACGGTCCAAGTAGCCCAAATGGATACAAAAATGGTTCACGTCGGCAAAATTTGTCACAAATCGTAGCGATAAATCGCTGTTATTGTTTACACGTTCCAATTTATCGCTACGATTCGCAGAAATTGAAGCCGGCCGCCATCAACCATCCAATCCAATTCCAATTCCAATAAATCGCTACAATCCTCTGTTCACACGCAACGATAAATCGTAACGATTCGATCGTTACGATAAATTGTTACAATTTATCGTAGCGTCTAAACCGCGCTTTAGGAATATCATGGCACCTGTCCTTCAAATTTGTCAATCAGTGACGTTTATAGAAGCGCGGGAATGCGCGTGAGCGTATCTATAAAAGTCTTAGATAAAAAATGAATACGAAACTGAGGCGAATTTATTGACGATAATTAAACAACGAGCTTCATTACATCAAATACACAACTTTCGTCAACACTTGTATAGTTTTACAATTCTATTATCGTAGCGCTGTGCAATTTAAATTTTACGAATACGATAAACAAACTGGGTCTGCACCTTTCGTTACGGATATCAATAACAGTAATATAGTGTACACATTTGGGCGTGCGATAATTACTATTATCTGAATACAGTAGATGATAAACGCAAACCAAAACAATATGATTATTTTATAAATATATAAACACATTCTTGAAAGTAATTGTTGAAGAATGTTATATCAAACTCATTAATGTACGTCAGTTATTTCTGTGTTTGGGTATTAATAGTATTATTGGAGAAGTATTGGACAAGTTCGTGCCTCAAATACCTACCCAAAAATGTCTATCAAGCTCTCCTACTTGGTCGTCTGCGCCAACAAATATAAGTGGTAAAATCCATGGCAACCGCAATCATTGTCGAAATCTTCCAATGGTTAATCTTTATTTTTATTTATTTATTTGGGCCAACCCGCGACGGAGGTGGAGCAAGCCCCTAACCTCCGTCAATTTCCAAAAATCAGTTTAATATACTGGACCCGCATGCGGGTCGTATCAGATATTAAGCTGATAAGAACAGATACTACACTTTGATCTTAGCCATAGGCCGAGAAGCGATAACGTATTTAGTGCAACGTTTCGATTTTATTTTGCCGTGTCAGCAGTTAAACTAACAGAGTTACTTGAAGCGTCCTCTTTCGTTGTCTTTTATCAACTGTACAATTTAAAATGGAATTTATAATATTTAGCTTTCTATCAGTGATACTACAAAACATCGAAATTCATATTACTGCACTTTGTGAAAAACGTACAATTATTTATGTCATAACCACTGATCTATAATAGAGGTAAGTGGTCATAACCATATATATTATATATGGTCATAACTCATACTTAAATTAAATCAATAGAGAGACGCTAGATAGCGCAAAATATAGCAGTTTCTTTTAGGTTTTCTAGGTTTATCTTACGAGAAGGGGTTGATACTATGGCTGGCTGTGGCGTTCACGCCTTTCACTTGTTTTGATTGCGTGGTTATGTCATATCTGTAGATTGTACTCAAGTTACTTATCTTGCAGATCTGTTGCACCGTGACTCCCTCAGCACCGCGCAACCGGCCAACCGCAAGCGCTAGAATTTGAATTTGCTGTGCCAGCGTTTGTTTTTGTTTATATTACCACAGTTACACAGTGACAACGGCAAAAAAAATTTTCTGTGTGGTGTTACCCAAACACGAATGAAATGAGCCAGAACACAAAAAAGTTAAAGAAGATGTAAGGGTTGCACATACTAAAAATGAATAATGTTGATTGTACCTAACAATTAGTTCCGCTCAGTTGTTTGCATGTTGTTTAATTTATAATTTTTAATTCACAGATTCATTTGTACCTTATGTGGAAAGACATTTAGTAAACAGTGCAATCTAAGTAGACACATTAGAAATATACACAAGTCTTCTGAGGGTGGCAGAAAATGTACTTTGATTTGTCCGTTATGCAGCGAAACGTTCTGGAAATATACCGAACTGGATGCACATCTCAAAAATGCGCACTCCATAAAAATAACAGAGGAGCAGATGATTTTTGACTCGAAAGAACATTTTCAAAACTGGAAACAGAAGCTTGAAACAGATACCCAATCAGGTTTCCGAATGTCTAGGTCATTATCTTCAAAAGATTTCCGTCTGACAGACTATCTTTGCCATAGGAGTGGAAAGGCTGTTTATTCAAAAATAATCAACAGGCAGCGAGCCACAAAGGTAAGAAAAGAGGTAAAAACTATATAAGCAATGAATGAATACAAGAAAAAAAAAGTTTGTCAATTTTTGCAGTCATTTCCTTAAAATTGCTTTAAGTTTACACTTACAAGTGCCATCGACTGTAGCAAAAACATTAGTGATCTCATAAGGACCTGATAACGCGTAACCACGTTACACTTTGTGAACTCATCAAATCAAATTGTGTTTTCCTGAAAGGTCATAGCATTGAATTTATAACTTATAAATTCAATGGTCGTAGTAGCTGAGTCAGTTCATGTTTTTGGAATGAAAAGAATTTTTGTGAAAATCTTAGGATTATTACCACGAATTTAATTTACGCATCACCAGATCACTTAAATCAAGCAATGGTCATTATTGCAACCCCATTGATTAAAAAAAAATTTCTACACATATTCAGTTTTATTATTTGAAATTTAGAACAATTTTTATTACTTTGATTTGTTTTGTACTTTACTATAGGTACGGCGTTTATCATCTGCCGTATTTAGAATTTTATAATAAATATTTTGACAATTTTAAATGCATAATAGTACATTATACCGGGTGGTGCCTAGCGCGACGCAGCATAGGGATTTCAATGGTAATTTCTTTATAGTCAATTACTAGCTCCCCAAATTATTTTAGAGCAAAAGTCTAAATACGTTTTTTTTAGAGAAAAAAATACTGCATCTGTTCATACTTTTAGTTATAATTTTCCATTTTTCAAAACCATAGAAATCGACAAAATAAAAATGTTCATTTTACAATAAATCAAATATGCCTTGAAATTACCTAAATAAACAGGGATCGCGTTTCATTATTTGCCTTTGACGTATATTAAGTTTGTACTTGTTTATAAATTAGTTAAAGAACTGCAAGTGCAATAACGTTCACTTTCCGTCAAAACCATCAGGAAAACGACAATACATTCAACGTTTTGGCTGCAGTAGTAGGAAAATCCGAATATAAGTTTAAGAACGATTCTTCCCCAAATCAGTTTTTTTCTTTGATTATGTAGGTACTCTGATTCCGGAAAATGATAAACAAATAGTATCTGATGCAGATGCAGCATACATTCTCTAAAAAAACATTACCCTAGGATGCCTTTTATTGCGTCGGTTAGTTGAAACAGAATTAAATATGAAAATTGTTCGACGTTAAACAATGATAACTTAGATGGGATGCGCTTGTAGTTTGTTAAAAGGTTCCAAAGCATCACTGATTTATTAAAATGTAATTTTTTATTTTGTCAATTTCTACGGTTTTGAAAAATGGAAAAGTATAACTAAAAGTATGAACAGATGCAGTATTTTTTTCTCTAAAAAAAACCTATTTAGACTTTTGCTCTAAAATAATTTGGGGAGCTAGTAATTGACTATAAAGAAATTACCATTGAAATCCCTATGCTGCGTTGCGCTAGGCACCACCCTGTATATCAAGGTAGAGAAGTACAGTGTTATTGCCTGAGCACCAAGATTACATCTCGAGGCGCTTGCGCCGAGGGGTGTAGGGTGCGAAGGCAATAATAGACTTCTCTACCGTGGTATATACCTATACTATTTTTTTCACTACTAGCACTTGAAGTCCTCTAAATTAACATATTATATTGATAAGAAATACTTTACAAGTGGAAAAAAGGGTAATAATCATGTCATCAGATGCTAGTGGTGAAAAAAAAGAAACACAGTGTTTTAACCTTAGACCATATAGTACATGGACTGCTAATTGTAACTAAAATATTGTCAAGGACATCGCCTGGGTATGTGAGTTTCAGGGTAAACGAGTCTGTCCGAAGTTGTCCGCTTAGACACGATTTGAGATTGTCAACCTATAAATTAACAAACGTCACTTAATTAATCGTCTAGATATGGCAAAAATAGCAAACCTGTTCTTATTTGTGGACGTATAGAAGATAATCAAGAGTATTTAAAGCGTCCCGTACTACGCGGTTACCATAAAAGCTACTATTTACGCGATCCGACTGGTGTTCATACGGCATTAGTTTACCCTGAGATTCACATACCCACGACTACAGTGCTCTCTATCCGTGACCACCCATTTTGTATTGAAAGCATAGGGCTAATAGCAGTCCATGTACTATATGGTCTAAGGTTTTAACCATAAAAATCCGGACCTTACTGATTTGTATCAGTACCTATCTAAAAGTTACAACTTTCTTTTTATACAACGTGCTGGATAAGATTAAAAGTGTTGGATGTGTAAAATAATGCTTAATTTTATAGGTAGGTACTTAATATTTAATGAGTGATTTATTTCAGGGTAAAGGACCAAATGGAATAAACTGCAACTGTCCTGCAAGAATTATTACTAAACAAATGGCTGATGGATCAATAACAGTTCATTTTTTTGGGACGCATGTCGGCCATACCCAAGACGTTGGTAGACTTCGTCTTTCCCATGCTGAAAGAGCAACAATCGCTGCCAAATTATGTCAGGGCATACCACCACAGCAGATTTTAAAAGATATTGGAGATGAATTTAATCCAAGCAAGCGAATTTCGTACACAACACTTCGTGACATTCACAACATAAAACACTCTTTTAATGTAAGCTCGGATATCATTTTTGATAAAGACGATGCTGAAAGTGTTGATGTTCTTATCAACCAGTTGAATCCATTAATTGAAGATTCTGACGAAAACCCTATTCTTGCATATAAACCCTATGGTGTCGAAGACCTGGAAATAGGTACAAACAATTTTTTCTTAATTTTCATGAATCAGGCACAAAGGGAATTATTGAATATTTATGGGAATGATATTCTCATGATAGATTCCACACATGGAACTAACCCATATAAAATTCAACTAACAACCCTTATGGTGGTTGACAGACGTTTTGAAGGCTTTCCTGTGGCATTTCTTTGGTCAATAACTCAAACCAAAAAAATGTTCGAACATTTTTTTACTGCCATTAAAAAAATAGTGCCTGATATTAAACCAAGGTATTTTATGTCAGTTGATACAAACACATTTTACAATGCGTTTGTAAGTGTGTATGGTCATATTCCAAGTAAACTACTTTGCGACTGGCATACTAAAAAAAAATTATTTGAAAATTTAACAAAGATTTCTTCAGCTGAAAAGAAAGAAGAAACTAAAGCCTCACTGAAATCGATTATCAATGAAGTGGATGTCGTTACTTTTGAGACAACATTACCTACATTTACAGAGAATTTAATAAAAGATCCCGAAACAGAAAAATATGGTACATACTTTTCAAAATATGCTAACAGGCCAGAACAGTGGGCACTTTGCTTCAAAAAAGAGTTTCACAGAAATACAAACCTGGCCTTAGAAAATTGGCATCAGGAGTTGAAGCACAATGCTTCTGTAGGTGGAAAATGTCAACAAAGACTGGACCGTAGCATTCAAAATGTATTGGAATGTCTTCGACAGAAGTGCTTAAAACTGCTTATATACGTATCACACAATGAAGTTCCTCATAAGTTATACGCTTTAAGAAAAAGGCACGAATTAGCCTGTTTAGTTTTAAACCAGACTGATTTACAAAGAGAATCTGCTAGTACTTTTTTAGTGACCTCAAAAAATAAAGATACGGACCCCTTGCTTGAATTCTTTAAGGTTACAGTGGTGGCTCAGCCAGAGCAATGTAAATGTGAATTTTTGTGTACAGAATGCCGAAAATGTTTGCATATGTTGTCCTGTACTTGCCATGACTACAGCGTACACTACAACATGTGCAAACACATACATCTTGTCTGCCTCAAGTATTTTCCAATGCATGATGATATTCAACCTATCCGAACTTTTACAGATCAAAATATTCTGGATGACCAAAATTATGAGCATAATACTATTTCAAACCATCTGCATAGTCGGAAAACTATAACTAGCTCTTCAGAACTGGAAACTCTGAAAAGGGCTGCTATTGAAAACTTTCATGACTTAGTAAGTGAAATTTCTAGTGTAGAAGCTGTCTCATACTTATTAACATATCTAAATACTGTAAGAAGTGAAATACATGCCTTACAAAATAATTCAGTTGACAATATGGTCCCAGAAAAGAGCAATAATGATAATAAAAATGCAGAACACCAAAAAAGATATTTATGCAAGTTAAAAAAAAATAAAAGAAAAAGATGTCCAGTTCCTGAGAATAATGACTGCATTTCTAACTTATTAACTTAGTCCATTAATTGATGTAATCACACCTATCCAAATAGTATATAATCCTACTTAACTTAAGTTGCAAATTAATGCGTTAAAAATTTTTGAATATGATGGATTATAAGTTTGACGTTTTTTTTTAAATTAACATTTAGTTTAGTTAACCTCTTTATCCTTGTTACCATACATACCTATTCTTTGCACTGTTTGGAGAGTCTAGTTTATAAGAAATTGTATGTTTGTTAAATTTTGGAAGACCTGAATATTACAAAATAAATAAATAAAATGTATAAGTATTATACCTACTTCTAAATGCTGTCTACTTGGAATATTTTTTATATTTGAATAAATGTTTTGTGAAAAAAACTTTCTTCAACAAAGTGACGTATTAGGGATGTGTTTGATGCTTTAGAAGAGAAGTTGCCACACAACTTACTTTGTACCATTCCTCACATTCAGCCATTCTCTCAATGTCTCATGAATTGATTGCAGAACACTTATTTTATTAAACACGCAATGATTTCAGTGAACACCACGTATTTGTCAATAGACTCATTGGTATTTTTACCAATTGGAACTTTTGTTCCAAATTACAAATCAAATGTCACTGTATTTTGGGAAAAAATATGTTTTTCTTCTCAAATTAAGCCTTTGGTCACCACTGTGAATTCCAGTTACATTAATTATAACTCGACTTGAAAACAACCTTTATAGCTTAGTATCAGTCATGTTTACAGCATATGGAATAAACAACAACAATTGTAACATTATTATTTATTATAATCAAAACCCTTCTACAATTATGGTGTACGGAAAATAACACTGGTCAACAAAAAAATAATTTTTTTTTGCGCATGGAATTTACATAATATATTCTGACTATAGTAAGCAAAAATAAATAAAAAGTGCAATTAGACATCGAAAATATTTGCTTTTACAAAAGTTATAGCGATTTGATTGAAAGCTTTCAGGGGCGAAAATTACAGCTGGAATCTGGTTTCGCTCAAATAAAAAGAAAAATGGAGGGTGATATTTTCCCGCGGTTACTTAGCAAAGAGAGAAAAAAATTCTGGAACAGTTTTAAGGCAATAGTCCATTGTTTCCCGTTCAGTGTTTCCTGGGAAACCATAGAGCTGAAAATTATGACGAGCTGACAGGTTTTGGTTTTGCATCATCGGGTATAGAATGTCTGTAAAGATGCACAGGTTACATTCTCATTTAGATTAATTTAAGGATAATATGGGAGCTTATTCGGAATAACACGGACAAGCCTTTCATCCAGACATAATGGGATTTAGGCACGTTACCAAGGCCAGTAACCTGGAAGCATGATGGAAGATCATATTTGGGGGGTTGATGAGAAAAACTTCAGTTGAACATGACAAAAACGACAAAACTGTTCCATTTTTAAACATTTAGACTCTAAAACAAACAAGTTATAAATGTAGGAACGTTACCTTATAATAAATCATGCCAGTGTAAGTAAGATTTTATAGGTATTTTTATTTTTTGGTTTTTTGCATTTTTTTGGCACAAAAACAAATACACAACCTTTTTTTGTTCTAATTCTTATTTGTGGCTATACAAGCAATACAAATATGGTATATATCATATATGTCCCATGCGCAAAAATGCTGTAGACCGGTGTAATTTAACATTCTACCAGATAAGTCGCTATAAACTATTGTGTTCCTTTCCTATCTCGCGTTAACTTCTTAGCCTTCTCCTATTCTATGAGTATTCTTGCCACTTAGGTTTAATATCCCATGTCTTTTGGCTTTCCCTTTTCTTCATATTTTAAATTCCAGTGTTCCATATGTTAATACAAGCACCACGTGTTGCATAAGTTTCCCGCAAAAAATTAGCGTGAAAGCGGTAGTACATATGTCATTTTTACGCTTGCACACTTTCCAGTTTACATCAGCAACCGGAAGTAGACGGTATAAATGTATTCTACCACCTTAAAGATCTTGTCACGGCCCACAAGATTGTAGGAAGGAAACATTTTTGTAAGAATTCAAGTTTTTGAGAAAAATGGCAAAATAATGTTCAATTTTCAGTGATTCAAGCCCTCCCATGAGAGCGTCGCTGATATTTTAAACATATGATGTAATTAATTTTTAACGATTCTCGAGATCGTTTATAATTTTGTATTGCTGTCTGTCTGTCCGTCCGTCTATCTGTTCGTGTGCACGATAACGTTGTGTAGAAACGTCCGATCGCTTTGCAAATTGATACACATGTTCTTCGGGATATATGAAAGGTCGCTATTGTTTTTGGCTACGTAGACTAACGGGCCAAAAAGTTACCGCCCAAAAACTGCCCAAATCTCCAAAAAGGGTTTCTCTTATAACTCTATTGTTACAAAGAACATATGAATGTCCGGTTTTCTGTGTTAGTAAATATTTCTTAAACTTCAGGCAACTATGCAGATGCAAAAAAATATTGCGCATGCGCATTCCAAACTTTTTTATTATACCTTGAATCACAATCTCCGTTTTAAACACTCAAATGCGTGCGAAAAAAAGCCTTTAAAACACACGTGCTTTAAAGTTGCTAAGTAATGATACTTTAAGTATGACTTTTGAAACTGTCATCTGGGTGAAATAAAAATCCTCTTAGGTCGCTTTCTATAAATGCATAACATTTCCTATCCTTTGGTTGAAGCTTTCACAAACGCCCTTAATTTAGGGTATACTTCCAAATCTGTTCCACTTTTTAATCGCAGCATTGTTTGAAGTTTTGAATGAATGCACCAAAGATTTAAATACCTTTGACATTTCCTGCATTACGTTTGTTTAGATTTTACAACAAGCGATATTTAAGGGACGGTGTATTATGTTTTTCAACGGAAATCGTTTTATTCACAAAGACGATGATTTTTATAAGCAAACGTCAAGTGACATTTCCATGGCAATCTTGAAATGACGAACACCCAGCCCACTTAATTAGACATGTATTCGAGTATAACGTCAATATGATTTCATTGTATTTCCTATTTTTAAATTATACTGCAGGTATAATAAAAAATACTATAAGATACACGTGTATAATTGGTCTTTAAAGTACTTGCAACGTTAAAGGCACTCCGCTTCGCGTCGTGCCATTAAACTCGTTGTGCGTGCTTTAAAGACTTGATTATACACTTGTATCTTAATATACAATATTTGCGCAATTCCAATTTTTTTATTTGTTACGATATTTAATGGAAATTTTGTATGTAGGCACCTCGAATAAAAGTAAAATTAATGCCGAATCAAAAAATTTCTTTGCGCATGCGCAGTCGTCTTTTTTATTTGTTAAGATATTTAGATGAAATTTTGTATGTAGGCACCTTGAATAAAAGTGCCGAATCAAAAAATTTAGTTTGCGCATGTAAACTATATATGCCAATTCAAAAGTTCGTTTTGCAAGCCATGCTGATCTGGTGGGACAGAATCAACCCCTTAAGGTGTGTTGTAAAAATTATGTATGTGTGAAGATCTCGAGGATCGTTCGGTTTCAGTTGTATCGAATTTTTTTCATTGTTTTGTTCATCTTTTATATATACAGGGTGATTCCTATAGTAACTGCCACCGTTTGGAAGCGTATAGGGGGTGCCTAGGGGAGTATTTTGATATAGTCCTATAGTACCTGCCACCGTTTAGCGTATAGGGGGTGCCTAGGGGAGATATAGGACACTTGGGGTCGGAAATCTAAAATAAGGGCGCCAGAACCAAATTTATCTTCTGGAATTTCACGCCTGTATGTAGGCAACCCAACCGACCGACGTTTCGCGCGGAGCGATGCAGAGCGAGTTAGCGCGAGGAAGCGACATGGGAGGGAAGGAGGGAAAACGACAGTCAAAAGCAATAACGTTTACAAGTGTTCAACGTGGCCACCGTTGTTCTCAATGCACTTCCTACATCTAGCCAACTATTATTATACTATTGCCATAGTGTTTATTCACTTGATACGCGTCGTTGCAGACGGGATTTCGTGGGTTTAAACAAAATTCTGATCAAGTGTCAGCCACACATCGCCGCCTGAGATCGCTCCGTGTGCACCGCCGGCCGGTTGGGTTGCCTACCTACAGGCGCGAAATTCCAGAAGGTAAATTTGGCTCTGGCACCCTTATTTTAGATTTCCGACCCCAAGTGTCCTATATCAAAATACTCCCCTACGCACCACCTACACGCTCCCAAACGGTGGCAGGTACTATAGGAATCACCCTGTATGGTTTTCTTGCCTCGAATAGATTTTGTTTTGTTTTTTTTAAATTCATCATAGACTACTTCATTAAAATCTAAAAAACCTTGATATAATTGGTACATATCTTATTTTCAATCTTATGCTAAGATATAGCTCGTTGAAAAGAGAATTAAAAAATCGATCAAGTAATCTAAAAATCCGATATTATGGGTAGTAACATTTTATACAAGTAATAATACCATAGACATATGAGAATAAGACATAGAACGAATCAAATTCAACGAAGCTCAGCATTGCCAAGTCTAGTCTAGTTCTTGACTCGCTAAGTAGAAGCGGCTGTCGCGCAAAGACGGCTTTCAAACTTTTGACATAAATTGAAAGTGACATTGTTGTGATTTTGACATTAAATTAAAAATGTCAGAAATGTATTTAAGAATATCTTTCAATTACATTTAATGAAGTTTAAATTAGAAAATTACGACATTTCATAATTGTATTAACAATGGAATCTGACGATACGGTCGTTCTCCTGAAAGCCGAAGTGGAGAGGTTAACAAGAGAACTTGACCAAGCAAGTAGTCAAAAAGTGCAATCTGCTCAGTATGGCTTGGTGTTATTAGACGAAAAACGAAATTTACAACAAAGATGTGACGATTTGGAAATTTTATACGAAAACACAAAACACGAGTTGCATATAACGCAGGAGGTATGTAACGTTTTGTCATATTTGTTTTTCGTAAAGCAAAATGTTTATTGCAGGCTCTTGCCAAGTTTCAGTCTAGTCACAGGGTAACGACTAAAACAGGTATAGAAACGGAGGAATCGTTATTGTCAGAGTCGGCAGCTATAGAAACTTCGTTAAACTCTCAAATTATAGACTTAGAAAATGAATCTAAGCAATTAAGGCACGAGCTAGAACGAGTTACCACAGAAAGGGATCGGATGCTGCAAGAAAATTCGGATATAGGCAAAGACAAGGAGGACAAAAACATGGAATGTAAGAAGCTCAGGACTGAGTTACGTGAAATTAAGTTCAGGGAGACACGGTTAATTGCCGATTATTCCGAGTTGGAAGAAGAAAACATCACTTTACAAAAGCAGATTTCGGTGTTGCGTAGTTCACAAGTGGACTTTGAAAGCTTAAAACTGGAAGCAAGAAGATTGCAGGAGGAGGTGGAACTTTTACATTCTCAGGTTGAAGAATTTTCAAACCTGAAAAAAATTGCGGAAAAGCACTTGGAAGAAGCCTTGGAATCGCTGCAGTCGGAACGAGAAGCCAAATACGCCTTGAAAAAAGAGTTAGACCAACACATAAATCGCGAATCGCTGTACAACATCAGTAATTTGGCTTATAGCATTCGAGGCATGGCTGGTGACCAAACGATTGGTAGCGACGGAGAAGATGACATTCCAGGTTTGAAGCGAATTGAAGCTAGCTTAACAGATGGTGCCGTGCCTGAACTGACCTCGCCAGATGATAAACACGTTGATCTCTTTTCGGAGGTGCATTTAAATGAGCTTCGCAAGTTAGAGAAACAATTAGAACAATTGGAGAAAGAAAAAATTAGTCTAACTCAAAATTTAAGAGATAGTCAATCGTTAGTTGAACGTAGCCAAAGTGAATTACAGGTATTTCTAGCTAGGTTATCACAATTATCGGCACACGTTGACTCCCTTGAATACTTGTCACAGAATATTGACAAAAAAATTATGAGTCCGCCCGAGCACGCCGCTGTGGTCGAACAATATCAAAAGTGGTTTAAATTATCATGCAAGGAAATTGATCAACTGAAGTGCGATTTGAAGGAGTTGGAGAAGTTGAGTAGTTGTTCTGATGCGACCTTGCAGTTGAGGAACGAAATTACCAACATTAAAAATAAGTTGTTTGATGCCGAACAGAAAAGTATGGATTTGGAAAACGATGTGCTATTGTTGAAGGAATTTGCCGGAGAAGCCGGAACTTCCATAGAGGATGCTTTAAATAATCTACAGCTGGTTACTGAAGAAATGGCTCAAGTTTATCACCATGTGTGCACTGTGAACGGTCAAGTACCAGATCGTATTATATTGGAGCATGAAAAACAAGACGGTATGCCTATAAAAGGTAGGTCAGATCATTTATGTATGTCTTCAAAAATGATAAAATCGTGTGATCTTTAAGATGATGTTCTGATCAAGTCAGCAATTGAAAGTTACTATTTTACAGTGCCTTCCTTAGCACAATTACAGCACACGTTATGCAAATAATATAAGCTCACAGTGGTTTCTTTTAAGGTGCCGATTCCCAACAACCCGAATGTCTAATTTCCAAATTGGATTTATTAAGAAATCGCTTGAAGACGGATATTTCTGTGAACGACTTGGAGAGCTTCCATGATGCTACCATAATTGTTAAGCATGTGGGAACATTAATGGATCAAGTAAAGCATCTTCGCACTGCAATCGAGAACACCATCGAATTGTCGAAGATTAAGGGACAAAAGACTGATGCCAACTATAACTGTAAGTTTTCTCTGAAAAGTAATTTGTTTAAGTAATTACTGTCTCGTTTAGCAACCAGAGATGAAAGCAGTGAAACTGAAATAGCGGAACTTCAAGAGCAAGTAATACGACTGAAGAGTCTACTGTCAACAAAGAGAGAGCAGATAGCGACACTCCGTACAGTATTGAAATCGAACAAAAATACTGCTGAGGTTGCTTTGAATAATCTAAAGGCGAAGTATGAAAATGAGAAGACTATCGTATCGGAAACCATGATGAAATTGCGTAACGAGTTACGATTGTTAAAGGAGGATGCTGCCACGTTCTCAAGTAAGTCTTGTTTTTGTGACCAACGCGTTTGATATGATTTTGACCATTTCTTATGGTTCTATGTAACAAAGCAAAAATGATATAGCTATGTTGCAAAACTACCTTTGTTTAAAGTTACTAGAAACGTAATAGTGCAGATTTAAACAAATTCAATTAAATTTGTTAAAAACACTAAATATTGAAAATACACACAAGGGTTGCCCTCTCACCCCCATAAGAGTAGTTCTAGGGTCTTTTTTGATGAGGAAGGAAAAAGAGCTAGTGAAAACCTTCCAGGCTAGGTACTCTTACTGCCTTATTTCTTTTCTGATTTGCATTTGCAATTACATTATAATCGTTCTCAACTTGAACAACAACATCTGGAAATTTTATTTCCGTCAGCATAATTTACATTGATATGTAAAATATTGTGCCACCATCTTCACTGGAATGAAGGTATTTATTAAGGCTGTTGTCCAATGGAGCTCGACATTCACACCAGGGTTTCACGGACAAAGAGTACACTTATTATTCTTAGAATTAGGTTAGATTAGGACGCCTCCCATTTTGACTAGGACATGTCTTACCGCATTATTATATAGAGTTGTGTTTAGGGGTTTTAAAGATCCATCTAATAACAGTATTCAAATAACATAAATATTCAGGAGTTATGAAAAACAATAACATTTGATAGGTACATTTGCAACAAGTATCCGCCGCCATATAAAACAAACAAAAACCCTACACCCATCGCACAAGCCGATAACAAAAATCGAAATACTTGAATTGAGTTCAAAGTCCCCTTCCTGCCAATTATTAAGGCTCCTCTGTAGTCAATCCGCCATATTGGAAAAATAGCTAAACTTTCTTATGAAATGCTGCTTTTGTAGTTGAAGTCTAACAAATTCTCAATAGTGGATATTCTTTGCACTGATGAAAAGAACGGCGGTACTTAAAAAAATTTGAAATATCGGTCTTAGTTTTTTAGGAAGATCGATGAATAGAAAAATCGTTTTTCGTAAATAACAGCCGTTGTAATGGGAGTAGAAAAACCTACAGCACCAATTTGGAAATCCGACAGTATTTCCTACGGCGGTACTTAAAGATATTACTTCCACCTATTATGATAATGCATATATTTAAAAAAATATGTATCGCGATCTTTAGAAAAAAATCAAAACGCTAACGTATGGATAGGCAACTCCTATTGCACTATAACTCCTGAGGCGACAACTCATTACTTGAAAGGGAAAACAAAAGAAACTACCTGGCATTATCCTGCACATTGTTACGCCGTTTCTAATGATATGGATTAGATAAATTACTATATAATTAGCTAATGTTCATGAATGCTGTTGATTTGTGAATCATAATGTCACATATTCCTAAGACGAAAAGTGCACTAAATGCATATTTATTGTAGGTACATTGGAAATAATTTTTGATTTCTAAAACCTTTTTAGCGCATTTCCACAAAAATAAAAAAAAAATGCGCTATTGTGGCCACTTTGTCCGTCCGTCCGTCCGTCCGCTAACTTTGCGACGCTACTAGTTTTTTTATCTTAAGAGCTATTGTTCTACTTTTTTCGCTATTTGGTTCGTTATGGTGTCGAGTCTTGTACCAAGGAAGGAATTTTTTCTGTACCGTTTACAAAAAAAGTTATTGTAAAAAAACAAAAAACCGTTTTTTCATGTTCCATAATTTTACACTTTTGCCGTTTATTAACGATCCTAGAGATCGTTTATAATTTTGCATTGCTATCTGTCGTCTGCCTGTTGGTCTGTCCGGTCTGTTCCTTTGCCTGTCTGTCCATCTATCTGTCCGTGTGAACGATAATTTTGTTTAGAAATGCCCGATCGCTTTTACATCTCCGTTAGTTATGAACTGAATTGCATGAAATTCAATATGGGCATAGCTTTAGCCATATAATACGCAATGCCAAAAGTTGAATCGAATCGATTCAAAATGCACAGTGCCCTTTTCGCATCTCGACCATTTATAAACCGAATTGCAAACTTTTTTACTTATAAAAGTATTTGAATGAAATTTGATTCATAGGCACTTGGAATAAAGGAAAATCAAACGCCAATTTCAAAATTTGGTTTTGCGCATGCGCAGTGCCAACTTTTTTATTTATGGAAGAATTTATACGAAATTTGATACATAGGCACTTGGGATAAAGGAAAATCAAACGCCAATTTCAAAATTTGGTTTTGCGCATGCGCAGTGCCAACTTTTTTTATTTATGGAAGAATTTAAACGAAATTTGATACATAGGCACTTGGGATAAAGGAAAATCAAACGCCAATTTCAAAATTTGGTTTTGCGCATGCCCAGTGCCAACTTTTTTATTTATGGAAGAATTTAAACGAAATTTGATACATAGGCACTTGGGATAAAGGAAAATCAAACGCCAAATTCAAAATTTGGTTTTGCGCATGCGCAGTGCCAACTTTTTTATTTATGGAAGAATTTAAACGAAATTTGATACATAAGCACTTCGAATAAAGGAAAATCAAACGCCAATTTCAAATTTGGTTTTGCGCATGCGCAGTGCCAACTTTTTTATTTATGGAAGAATTTAAACGAAATTTGATACATAGGCACTTGGGATAAAGGAAAATCAAACGCCAATTTCAAAATTTGGTTTTGCGCATACGCAGTGCCAACTTTTTTATTTATGGAAGAATTTAAATGAAATGTGATACATAGGCACTTGGAATAAAGGAAAATCTAGCGCCAGTTTCAAAATTTTATTTTGCGCATGCGCCGTGCCAACTTTTTTTATCTATGGAACTATTTAAGTGAAATTTGATACTTAGGCGCTTGGAACAAAGGAAAATCTAACATTAGTTTTAAAATTTAGGTTTGCGCATGCGCAGTTCCAATTTTCTTATTTAGAAAAGTATTGAAATGAAATTCTTCTCATAAACTGAAATTGAAGTAGCACGTCAACAATGGATTGCCCATGTGCAACGCTATCTTTCATATTTGTGGGCGGATTTTTACGATTTTAACAGAAGTTGAATCTTACAAATGGGAAATGAATGCAAGTGGAAATGCGCTTTATGTAAATCGTTTACGATTACTTTTTAACTTGTTTATTTTATCAGGATGCTTCAAGAAATTTGTTTAGGAAGGTATCAAATAGTAGCCCAATTTTTAGCTAAACCCCTAGGCGGAATACGACTGTACCTGTAATTAGAAGCATTTTTGCCGCAAATTTGTTCTTGTGTAGAAATGTGGCACCGTTTTGATTTTTTGGACTAACGCATAACCACCACACAAGCGAGTAGCACAGTATCACAATAATTCGCAAACACTACTACTGAGTCCAGACTTAGAGAGGCGAGTGCTACTTATTTTTTCAGTATGATCAGATATCAGGAATATCCGCTTATCAAAAAAATAAAGGAACGACAAATTATGATTTTTACAAATAAATTGGCGAGAAAGTTGCGCCCAATAGTTTTCACATTCTGAGCCTACCATTTCAAAGAAATTCGATTGCACTTGTTCATTTTAACTGTTACAAAAAATGTTCCAATTCCCCTTTTTAGCTAAATTTCTAAGCGGGATACGATAACTAATAGGCGACACTGACAAATTTATTTAAAAAAAGTGTCATTGTTTTGCTTATGTCAAGTCAAGGTAGTGAGACATCACGAAAATGAATATTTGTATCAAAACCTGGGTGAAATTTTGGGTTTTCCCGGTAATTAGCGGTGGGTAAAAAAATTCTCCCACTTTTAAAAAATTTCAACTATTTATTTTTTCCGTTTGAGAATATGATGGAATCCCGCAAACTTCACATCAACTTAGCGAATATGAACTGATATCATCTCGGATTTTGCCTCTCAGAAAATAGAGGATCAACCGCGGAATCAACAAATTTTACAACTGAATTCTCAATTTAGGACAAAAAAGCGAAGTCATCTTGCTGCACATAAGATGTTCGGAAAAATTCTAAATGAGTTGTGCATAAATGAAGTATAACGCTAAATGTACAATTATTATTTTTTGAAAAGATAAGAATTTATTTAAAAATCGGTATGTTAACTTTTTATCATTGTAACAGAATTTTAAATGTTAGCTACCATTTTTATAAAAAAATACATTTTTTGTTGTTGTTTACCCTTATTGTATAAGAAAATAAAGAGATTTATTTTAGGTGTTGGAAGTGCCGGTTTATTAGGTTCTACGGTACCTAAGTCCTAAGTGAATTCATTCATGCACATGTCTATCTAATAACTATAAAAATCTATAAATCAGTAAAATTGAACTCACAGGAAATAAAGGGGTAATTAAAAATGTTAACAAACAATGCTAATCTAGTCCACTAATGACCTAAGAACCAGGTAATTTACAGAAGGTGTCATTATAGAAAAATGCAGTAAATGCATTGAATAAGTAATTTAAAAGAAATAGACATTTGTGCATCGCCATTCAAATATTGTACAGCTTTTCGCTAAACTTGTTTACATAATATTAGTCCTTGACCATTATACATGGTCTATTGTGTTTAACAATAAATGAAGAGAATATGCAAAACTGGAAAGGATAGAGATACATCGTTGGTCTCACTCAAGGAGTAGGTACATCGTCTAGAGATGTGTATTGTTGGTGGTCTAACCCATTGCAATAAATTGAAATACAAATTGACTACAGAGGAGCCTTAATAGCTTCGTTTATTCATTTATAGTTGTTCCACCTAAGTGACTGAATGTGTTCTTCTCGAATTGGAGTACTATCTGATGATTCAATTGGTTTGCGTTTTAAGGGTCTCTGCCATGAACCCGTCACATTCCTTTACTTATTTACATAGATCAAATTACATTTAAAGGGAAATGCAATAATATATCCGTGTAGGCGGTTATGAGAATTTAGATTACGTTAAGCGAATGTTACACAGTCTTATCGCAGAGGTGGAATGTTAAATTGTAATTTGTAATTCAACAATTTTTCTTGTTTAAGGGGCCATGTGTACTTATATACGTATACAGGGAGGAAATTTCGTCTGGAACACTGATTAGTGATTATACAGTGTGTCCCAGATCGGGTGGGATTGCATGGGTAACTTTGTTATTATTAAGGATAGAGAATTGGTTAAATTGACAATGTTTGGCAGTTTTAGATGCTTATTTAAAATTTCCTTTTGGAAATTCAAAATGTCGCATAGGTTCGACGTAAATTCAAAAAAACTAAAATTGGTCATTTCCTTGAATGTCTTACGAGTATATCATCAAAAGTATAAGAGATATAAAAAAAGTTTTATATAAAAGTTACTGTCTTCGATACGTTTAATTTAGAATTGATGTCAAAAAAAATTCAAGATGGCTACTTTTGAGGAACATTTACCAACTTCCTAAAGTTAAATAGGCGCCATATGGGATTTTTAGATTACTTGATAGATTTTTTAATTCTCTTTTCAACGAGCCATCATAACATAAGATTGAAAATAAGATACCAGTTATATCAACGGTTTTTATGTTTTAATTAAGTAGGCTGTGATGAATTAAAAAAAACAAAACAAAATCTATTCGAGGCAACAAAACAATGAAAATAATTACATCAGATGTTTAAAAAAAATCAGGGACGCACTCATGAGAGGAGGGGTTTGGGCATTACAACTCCCTCCAAAATTTTATATAAGCATTAGGTCTAGAAAAATTTGATTTTTATAACATCACTTAATGACTTATTATCCATACTTACATACCTACAAATGGTGGTATAACTACAAACTATCCCCTCGAAAAAAGTCATGCCATTATCCAGTTAAAGATATTTCAAGACATTTCGTTTAATTTTACACAATGTATTACCATTGATGCATTGTCCCAGGTCACATTTTGTAGGTGGTTTATCCGCAAGAATATCGAAACTAATAGTTTCACCAGTCCGAGTATATGGACAGATGAATCTTATTTTTCTAACTGCGAAGTGTTCAAATCGACATTATGAACACTACTCGTCACAGGAAAACCTACATGTTGTAGTTTCACGCCGAAAACAAGTAATATTTTTTTTAATTAATGTATTTTATGGCATAATGGGAAGTCATGTAATTGGACCGGTAATCTTCGATGGATCTTTAACTGCTCACCATTATTTACAAATTCTCCAATAAACTTCCTTAAAGGATTTTTCTCGACAACGTATGTTTCGAAGGAAGGGTTGGTTTATGCTACCTACCAACAAACTGGCTGCTCAGGTCACAATTCACGAATTATGTACAGTACATTAAATTATAAAAGTAAGTACTTAATTAAAACACAAAAGTAAAGTGGAAGTAGCTACCACTACAATAATAATAATAATAATCATCAATGGCAACACGTTGCCTAAACTAAACTGTCTTGAAGTGTGTTTCACTAATAATGGCCAGTATTTTAAACATCTGGTGTAATTATTTTGTTGCCTTGAATCGATTTTGTTTTGTTTTTTTTTATTCGTCACAGACTACTTGATTAAAATACAAAAACCGTTAATATAACTGGTATCTTATTTTCAATCTTATGTTATAACAGCTCGTTGAAAAGAGAATTTAAAAATCTATCAAGTAATCTAAAAATCTAATATGGCGCCCATTTAACTTTAGGAAGTTGGTAAATGTTCCTCAAAAGTGGCCATCTTGAATTTTGTTTTGACATCAATTCTAAATTAATAATAATAATAATAATAATGACATTTATTGAGTTTTAAGTAAGACAGTATTTTAACGCATTTATAAAAAAAGAACAACTCAATAGGGCGGAGTTCAGACTGGAGCTACCAAGATAACCCCGTCTGCTCTACCACTCAACCCTAAGCGTATCAAAGACAGTCACTTTTATATAAAACTTTTTTTTATATCTCTTATACTTTCGATGATATAAGACATTCAAGGAAATGACCAATTTTAGTTTTTTTGAATTTACGTCGAACCTATGCGACATTTTGAATTTCCATAAGAAAATTTTAAATAAGCATCCAAAACTGCAAAACATTGCCCATTTAACCAATTCTCTATCTTTAATAATAACAAAGTTACCCATGCAATCCCACCCGATTTGGGACACACTGTATATTCAAAACTACAATTTCTGCAAGTTCTTTTATGGTACCTATATCCACAATTATAAAAAGTTGACTATTTAATTTGTGGTAAGTGGCATACCTTTGCATGGTCAAGGGGCCAGGCTCAAGAGGGTATATTTTTTGTAATTAATTGCGCCATTTTATTCCGAATTTAACGCATTTCAGATTTGCCTACCTATCTGTCACAGTTTTTGACATACGTCAATTTTTCTCATAAACATTTACAGATGCAAGGATCCATTCCGAAATCCATATCTCTTAAACCGTTCGAGATACGTGAGTGCTCTTTTATACAGCCTGGCAAGTTGACGGCGGGACATAGGGAAATAACATGGGGAAAATACATTTTCGGCAATTTCTGCTCCCCATTTTAACCTAAAGAAAAAATAAAAACACCCTCGGTTAGGTAATTAAAATTGGCATTAGATGTCACCAAAAAAGCGTGCCTAAGTCCTTTTTTAAAGGTATAAAAGTTAAATTAATAAATCAAAAAAGGTGGTAAAAAATTCGTTGGCCATGATTTACCTACCGCATTTGTTATCTAATTCTTCCATTTAACTGTCATCTCTAATAAACACGCCAACATGAATAATAATTACACTAGAGAAGAAAAGGTCTTTATTGTTAAATCGTGTTATACTGCGAATAGTACACGGCGAAGTTCGCGATTTATTTTCAGTTAAGTTTAATGACAGGTCAATCTTTTATAGTGTAATTATTTCACCCTTTCGTGGTTGAAGTAAGATGATAGTCAAAGGAACAATTTGTTGCAGTAGGTATCTATCAAGTGCGACATGTCACTCCATGGCCAACCAGTTTTTACCAATTTTTAAGATTTTTAATTTAATTTTTAGGCTTGCATAAAACCTCACAGTTGCGTATTTTTATGTCATCCGATGGATATTTTAATTACCTAGCTATCCGAGGATGTTTTTATTTTTCCTGTAAGATGAAATGGGAAGCAAGAATTGCCGAAATTATTTTTGGTGTTTGGGCCGAAATAACGTATAAAGTGCATTACAATTAAAAAACTAAACCAAAAGTCAAAAATGTTTAATCTTATAGTTTGCACAATAAAAGATTCAACGTTTTTTTGGCCCTAAAAATGACAGCGCTAAGAAATGACTGATTGAACTTTTAATGACAAAATATCAAAAATCAAACGTTTTTAAAAATTTTGACTCAAAACGTTAATTCACTTATAGACCAAATAAATTAAACAAATATAGCAAACGAGCTCCTGGGTATGGCTATAGCATGTGCAAAACCAAATTTTAAACCTGATGTTAGTTTTGCTTTTATTTAAAGTGTATATGTATGAAATTTCATTTAATTGCTTCCATAAATGAGAAAGTTGGCACTGCATATCCTACACAAAACCAGAGTTGGAAAATGGCGCTTCATTTGCTTTTATTCCAAGTGGCTATGTATCAAATTTCATTTAAATCCCTCCATAAATAAGAAAGTTGGCACTGCACATGCGCAAAACCAAATTTTAAAACTGGCGTTAAATTTGTTTTTTTAACTAGGCAGTTAATATGGCACGATACGTTAAAAGGGTAGGTGCAAGACTGAATATCAAATTTCTTGACCCTTGTGAAGTGTTATAAATGAGGTTCATCTCAAGCATCAATAAAGTCATATCACGCGTATCACAAAGAGCTGGGAGCACTAGCACAGAATTTAAAATTAATACTGAAAGGTTTATCGTATTTTTCTGCGAACGACCTAAGTACAGCTGTCGCGGAGAAAGAACGTTTTGGGTCGCGCAGGTGACGTCACGCGGTCGCCAATGGTAGTGTACTGTGGCAGTCAATGTGATTTTGATTCCAGGGTCTATATTTCAAATAATATGAAACAATAGAAAATACATTCACACAATTGTTTTCTATGTAGGTCCAAAGTTACAAAACTTCATATTAAAATTTCACTTTTTTTAAATGAAACACCCTGTATATTTTTATGTCATACTAATAGCGTTTTCGATTGGCAAAACTCGTGCTGCACGAGTGCAATTTTTACGTTCTATTGGTAATTTTAGGGCAATTTTCTGTGTTCCATTGGCAAATGTGATGCAACAATTACGCACTCAGTGCAAATTTCGACGCACGAGGTCCGAGAGCTCGTGGAGCTGCTAGTTAACAAATTTTCAAAACAAACGTGCGACAATTTGAATTTGTTTCTTGCGTTGGGAGAGTTTTTTGTCGTCATCTAGCGATAGCGAAGATGATGAACTAGCCATAACTTCTATTTTACAAAAAGTTGCACTTACTCATTAAACTGAACGCCAAAAATTGGTCCTTTACAGGAATTTCAAATTTATATTCCTCATCGTTTATCATAAATAATACTGAAATCGTTTGTCATTTTTTAGAATAGAGATTTGTCGATTACCTAAATCTAAAATGAGGTTATGGACAAATGACAATAAATATTTACGAATATTTATGTTCCATTGAGAGCAATTTTCACATGGATTTCTTCAGTTTCTCGTGCAGTACGAGTTTTGCCAATCGAAAACGCTACTAATAAGGTCATTTCATTAATAAAAGAAAGCATTCCGCACATAACAGTTGCCCATAATAAATCTCAATTTTCATCGTATATCATTTTTATAGGTTTGCGCGCCATGTTTGCCGCACGCTGCGAGGAATATGTCACTCAAGTGGACGAACTTCAACAACAACTAACCGCCGCGGAAGAAGAGAAGAAGACCTTGAATCAGCTATTGAGACTTGCCGTACAACAAAAACTCGCGCTTACACAAAGGTTAGAAGAACTGGAAGTTGACCGAGAGATACGCAACGCCAGACGTCCGGGAATACGCACCTACCAACGTCCAGGCCGATCGAATCGTGACATGTTTTAGCCCAGATCAAGAGCTGCAGTGTACATTGTAGCGCTCGTTACTACATTTTTCAAGTTATGAAATTTTCTCTATCGTTTATACTTACTCGGTAAGTTAACCGAATTACTTACACGTCGTATGACAAATCAGATAACGATGGTAAGGTTACTAATCCTGATGAAACTAATTTTTTATATTCAGACGACCAGTAACTTGTGATTTCTAAGTTAGAAAGATAATGTTAATTGGCGACTTTCATACTACTTATTTTTACTTATTTTATCTACATGTAATAAGTATTGGATTTTTATACTTCCATGACAAGGCATTTGTACTTGCGTCAGTATGGCATTTATTTATTGTGTGTATTTTATTGTGCTAAATGTAACTGAAGGATGTGTGCATTATGGTTCAATTTGACAGTATTAGATTGGAACGAATAACGGTTGATTTGTATTACAATTTTTGTCGCTTAGACGGTGATGGGGCAAAATTTACTTGGAGGCTTTGTTTTATGAAATAATAATTAACAATATATCAAAGAGGCGTCCAAATAAAAAAAATAATCTTAATATATCAATTTGTAACGAATCAATTCCGGGTGTACAGTTGTGTAACGAAATGGTACATGATTGTGACTAGTTTAGCGTGAATATTTTTTGATAATTGTATAAACCGGTTGGAGAGTTTTAAATTAAGGTACACTTTGAAACATAAACAATATTTCTTGCTGCCAAACTGCCTTTCTATATCAAATGTGGCGTGTACCACAAAGGTGGCCCGATTTACAAAATCTTTGGATTTAAATCAATTCAAATGTTTATCATTTAAATTGAGTGCCCTATATGTGATTTACTACAATATAATGGGTTTAAGAAACAGTTAAGGTAACAGCATTCTGAATCCGCTACTATATTGCTATAGATAAGGAAGTAGGAAGGAATAAATCAGACAAAGAGTTAGAATGAGTGTGATAATATTAATCAAACACAAAAACTATATGAAATGAGAAAGTGAACAAATGCAATTCTAAAAAAGTGCACGAAGTCAATCATTTTTTAAAATGTATTATTACTAGCACCTACACACCTCAAAATCTATTCTGTTAAGATTACAACATTATAGGCTCCTTTATGTATAAAATTTAAATTGCATGCTTTTAAACATTTCCCACCACCTTTGTGCCGCACCCACATAGAAAAGAAAGCATAGAATGATTAAAGTCTTCAAATCGTATAAAAAGTTATGTAAGTAATATTTAATAATTAATTATAATGACTGATGGTTAGCAAATGAAAATGATAATAACACATTTTAGAGATGAGGTAATTTCCCAAAAATTCATTTCTGTTTTCAAGTGCAATATATTGTTTTATAAAAATAATTCTGTTGACACTTTGTAAATATCTCTTTCTTTTGGTGAGCCATCACTCAAAAACGGTGGATACATTGTAGATTACAGAAGTAGGATTACGTTTGTGGTAGGATTATTAAATTGCATATGTCATTCTGTGAGAATTAAATAGCGGTTGTTCATAGTTAAAAAAGTGTTATCAATGTAGCGTAAGTTTTAGTCGTTTTGGGAAACAGGCTATAAATTTTAACATAGATAACTTCATTCCGTTGGTTCGAATGTCCAAAATGTTTGTTGATTTGTCCTACCTCCGAGCCTATCGACCACGGAATAGGCCCGTCCCTTTTACAATAAAAATTTTCTTTACTAATTTGCATAAATATCAAATGTATTTTATTAACTGTTGAACATTAAAATTACCAGATTGATTTTGGGCAGCTTCATAAAGTTGCTAAATATTTATATTAAACATTTTGTTTATGTTTGTCTGTATTTATGTAACTTTTATTGTACTCGATATTGTTAATAAATTATTAATTCGTTTGTAGTCGACCTTTTTTCGTCTATGCCTTTAGGACACCACTGACTCGTGTTTAATTGGTGACAGATGCCGCTGACAATCAAATTATAGATGTCGTTTTTCTGGCTTATTAGTGTTACTTTAATTTAATTTCGGTGGGACATTCTACCTGCGGTGTTATTTGCTCAAACAAGACATCTACAATTTGGTGTTCAGCGGCATCTGTCACCCACTGAATACGAGTGGAGTATGATGGGTCGATGACTAAATGATTTACCTGGAAACAGGCTTGATGATCAGCATATCATGGGCTAGCATCGATTCGTTAATTTCAAGGATGCTCCGTCGAGTATCTGAATGCGTAAGAAATAGTGCGGAGGATCCACACATTATTAGTGCAGTTTGAATTTGATGTAATTGTGTCATGTTGAAATTTCCATCGGCTCTTATTTCGAAATAAAGGCAATTTATTGTCCTGCAACTTTCATCAAAAGTGATCAAAGTACATTGGGTGTATGACAGCCAGTCAGGGTTGGCAAAAACCCGGATTTTTGTATAAAAACCCATAGGTATTTGAGGTTTTCTGGGCAATAGGGTTTTTGTATGATTATCGTCCGCATTATTGCGACGCCATCTGTTACAGGATAGAACAAACACCTCAAAACTAAACTGTAAAAGTTTAGGGTTATGTTGGTTCAAAAAAATCAAATAAATGTTCGCGTCCGCGCCCTATTCTTTATAAAGAGTTAGAAAGCCAACATTTAATAATTTATCATTATAATGTTATAGAAGTATTTTTTTTTTCTAGTCGAAAACTCTTCCGTATGTCTATTAATGGCTTAATGTGAAATAAAGGTATTTGTATGAAGTGCTTGGTAATGAAAATAAAAACTAACGTAACGTACTGTAGGCATAAAAATACAGATCCTATGCAAAAACCCAAAAATTATAAAACCCGGGTTTTTGTTATGAAATGTTTTCTACAAATGTTTTTGTAAAAAAACCCACCCGGTTTTTGTTGGGATTTTGTACTTTGGGGTTTTGTTTGCCAATCCTGCAGCCAGTATACCGGGTGATTATTTTAAAACCGAACATAGGCAATTAACATGGGAAAAAACGTTTTTTGCAGATCTTTGCTCCCCATGTTAACTTAGAGGGTTTATAATGGCACCAATCAAAAGAAGATTTTTTTTCTTATCTAATGATATACGAATTAGTTCATTTTCAGGTGTATTTCTCCTTATTTTATCAAAAATTCGGTAATAAATCCAATTAGCAAAATCATGTTATGCCATGATGGAAATTTCCTAAAGAATGAAATGGATTTTAACACAGACAGAATGGGACGCTCATTAAAATCATAGTATAGGTAATTTAAAATGCACGGAAAACAAATATCGCGTACTAGAGTAGATATTTCCGCTGTAAACGTTGTTTATTATAAATACTTTTTCCTCAGGTGAACCACATTTTCCAAAAAAAATTAATGCCAGTTGTCATAATCTGATATTTATTTCAACGTTTGAATCTGCTTTTTGTCTTACTAGTCATGGCTTATGATTTTGGTAAGTGGATTTATTGCTGAATTTTTGATAAAATAGTGAGAAATACACCTGAAAATGAACTTTCGTATATCATTAGACGAGGAAAAAATCTTCTTTCGATTGGGGTCATTATAAACCCTCTAAGTTAACATGGGGAGCAACGATCTGCAAAAAACGTTTTTCCCAAATTGCCTATGTTCGGTTTTAAAATTTAGAACATTTTTTGAAAAAAAAATCGTGTCTTTAAAAATATAAAGGATTGATTGATTTAGCCCCGCTTCTCCGCCGCCAGGTCTGCATTTCTGTGTTTGGGTATTATTGGACAAGTTTTCAGCGTGTCTCAAATACCTACCCAAAAATGTTTACCAGCTCTCCTACTACAACGGCTCTTTGCAGAAAATAATTATCATTATTTACTTGTAATACCGTTCGCTTTCGTTAGGAGTAACTGACAAATGATTCACCCATTCGCAATAAACAAAATGAGGTGCGGTAACGACTGACGATATGCTTACAACATTTAAATTGTATTTGTTTTCATTCACGCTAATCTTGTTTTTCCCGCGATTCGCGACGCCACACGCTATTGGTCACAATTTTCGCTTGTTATGTAACTGATGCCGCGGTTTTCTGCAATCGGAAGTTTTCGTGTACGTTCGCGCTCAAAGCAGTCAGATTTCACGATTGTTTCTAGTTTGACCTATTATTTTTCTATTTCCATTAGGAATTGTTTAAATCGTTTTCTATGTGATAATTTCGATTTAACGTTTTCAATTTGCGTTAGGGATGGACGCGTAGCTGTCGCCGCGTTGGGTGCACAGAGTTTAGTTTAGTTACGTCTTGTGGTGTTTGTAAAACCGGTCGTAGGTGCTAATTTAAAGATTTTGTTTGTTGATATAAATGTTTTGTCAACTAAAGTTATATAAAAGGTAGCTTTGAGACTTTCAGTTTAATTTAAACCAGGAAAAGTATCACTTGTCATCATGAAAATTAAAGGCGGTAAGTGTACTGTGAAAATTTAAGACGGTTGTTGACGTTTATTCTAAAGTTCGTAACGGGGGGTAAATTAGAAAGGGTTGGTATTTGTTTTTAAATTGTCTTAAACTGGGGTTTGGGATAACCCAGTCCTGAAAATTGTATTTAAATAGTGCGAGCACGAGGTAGCGTGGTAGCCATACTGTCAAGTGTCAACCGCTTGATCTGTCAGTTCACCAGGCATTTTAATGCTTTTTGAGTTTCCTCTTTGTATACCTGCTCCAAGGAATTATGATTTATGCTAGCCCCCCCAAAATGAATAACTTTTCAACAATGAATTATCGACATCTTTTGCTATCACCGGCGAGTAACCTTATTTGTATACAATAATCTCACGTGTTTACTTTCAATGCGACGTTGGCAAATTTCGTGTGCGTTATCTGGACGCGCCAAACAGTCTTTTGACATGTAAACAAATTCAAATGTCTTCAAACCTCGATTTTAATTACATAATCCTACTTAATTGCAGATCATGATCGATTTCAATCAAGTAGTAGCACGGACGATAACGAGTCCGGCTCCGACCACGATGGTGCCCTTAGCTCCATGAAAATGACGAACATACAGTCTCATAATATGGCAACTGTACGAAGACGTCGAGGAAATTTACCGAAGCATTCTGTGAAAATTTTAAGGAGGTGGCTTTACGAACACCGATATAACGCCTATCCTAGCGACGCAGAGAAAGTAACGTTATCGCAGGAGGCCAATTTAACAGTACTTCAAGTGTGCAATTGGTTTATTAACGCTCGCAGACGCATTCTACCCGAGATGATAAGGCGCGAGGGACACGATCCGCTACACTACAAAATTTCACGAAAAGGTAAAAAGTTGAGTAGTGTCTCACTCACATCGGAACAAAGTGGTTCTTGGGATGAAGATGTGAATACTGGCGGGAAACGGATTCGTTTAGATCACGATTATGATGAAAGGGTGTCATTAATGTATCGTTCCGAGGAAGATAGTCCAAATGAATATGAGAGCTCCAGTCCAAGTGAAGAAGAGAAATTTCATCCGTGGCCGACCGTCTTGCAGTACGGACTAAATAATGACTTGGAACATCCTGCCAATAGAGGGTGAGTTATATCGAAATAGATTCCACACAAATTAACATTTTCTCACATTTGAAAAATGCCATCTCGTTTTGCAACTGTGGACCTTGTAATATTTATTTGAAATAAGTGTGTGAATTCTGTGATGGGAAGTTATTTGATGATGTGTGACTACACTATAATCAACTTACTATTTTTGCTACCAATTTAATTTTTAAAATTATGGAAATTTAGATACGAAGGTAAGAACGAAAATGCAGCAATTTCATTAAAAAAATGTATATTTAGCTGTTTTCAAATACCTGGATTGAAATACATCCATGGATGATCTCTCTTCTTGGTTTTATTTGGTGATGTCTTGCATTGAACTGTTTCTGTATCAAAACTGTAGATTTATGATAGCTAATAATAGAACTCAGACTGAAACAGAAAATACCACCATTCGCCGTAAACATTTCAGAAAAGTTTGTCCACAAATAATAGTACAGTCTACGCATGTGTGATCCAATTTTTGAAATACTCGTTTAGGGCCAATTCTACAATGCAGGGATATACTGAGAATAAGCTATATAATTGAAATCACGAATCTTTGTCCCTGCGTCATTGATTTGTGAATCAATTTCAGACAAGTTTTTTATCGATTTCGCATACTTGACAGATATTACAGTGTTTTAGCGTATGTCTGAAATTGATTCACAAATCAATGACGCAGGGACAAAGATTCGTGATTTCAAGTATACCTCGAATAAACGTCGACGGTTGCGTTGGTTACCATTGCGTCAACCAATGGGATAGTTGTTACTATGGCAATTATTCCAAGAATATCTTATTCTGCGAATAGGTGTAATTGTAAAACCGGCCCTTAGTTTCCTTTTATAAGATGATCCCACTGCCCAGAAAAACATTTTAAAAAAAGACAATTTATTTTGCGCATGAGTAACATACTTTGTAACATGTGCTTTCAATTTGGTTCTATGAAAAGCATCATTAAAAATAAATTGTGGAAATGTATGTACATGCATAACTTCAGAATGACTGTACCAAATTAGTAATTGTTGTGTTTTTGTCAGGACAAGGACAAAATTGTGCGGACAGACGTAAAACAACAATTTTTCTCCTTTCTGTCATTTTAAAACTCAATACATATAACTAATAGATGGCGCCATTACTATGAAAAATGTACAGTGACTTTATACGAGACAGTGGCGACAATAGACTATTAGTGGCCACGTCACAATTAAGCGGAAAATTTGCTATGTCGATTGTCGACTACATAGTCGAAGATTTTGACACTTATACAGGATGTTTCGAAATTCTTGCACACGGATTATGGGATGGTGTGATATGACAAAAACTGAACAAAAAGTTCCTCTACCAGTTTTCCATCAGACCGCTATTTTTCGAGCTACCGCGGTTTTAAAAATCTGCGCGCCCCCCCCCCCCCCCCCCACGCAGCGCCACTGGTTAAACTTAACAATAACACACTTTTAAAAACAAAAGAAGGTTCAAAATAAACTATAATTATGACGAGTATGTAATTACAACAGTTGTTCAAAATGTCCGCCTTCTGCTAGTAAACAAACTTCAGCACGTCAAAAAAAAAGGGCCGGTAGAGGAACTTTTTATTCAGTTTTCGTTGTATAACACCATCCCACAGTCCGTGTGCGCGAATTTCGAAACACCCTGTAGACATATGGATTAAGGTTCACTTTTAGATAGGTTCTTTTGCTCTGTATTAGTTAATGGATAATTATCGATAATTTTAGGTAATTATCGATAACTTTTCATAAATCTTACCAGTATAAATATATCATTCATTGGTAATTATTATATCATCCACGCTGCTCGATAACATTTTTGCTTTTTTGATATTGACTATTGATAGTGTGAGATATAATTTAAATAAAAACAGTATTTTTTGAACCATAATTATGAAAACAGCTGTGTTAATTAGCAACATCATGAAGGTTACGTTGGATTCTAAACTTTACAACGCCCTTCCGGATCAAATGAAAAGTGGGCTAAACGTTGGCCAATTTCAAAACAAAATTAAAGCATTCTTGTTAGATAAAGTTGTGTACTGTGAGCGTGAATTTGTTATTTATATTTTAATTTTTATTATTGACGTGTAAATAATTGTTATTGCAATTTCTCTTACAAATATATCATATGATAAAGCCTTTTTTCTATGTCTCTTTTGTAACAAATTTTTGGTATTTTTTAAATATTAATAATTACGGCACTCAGAAATACTAAAAATCATGTACTGCTACAATTATTTATGTAAAATTCAAGTATTAAATCAAAAATTTGTTACAATAAAGACATAGATGTATCCGAAGATGTATTCTTTATCTTTATATCGGTACCTAACATCAATAATTTCTGCTTCAATGAGTATACAAGAGGTTCGAAACATTCTTTTAATTCAAATTTAATTTAACTATTAGTCCTTTGTTACTTATCACCTTTCCTATTATTAAGTTATTCACCTTGCACCTGACAGAAGGTATTAACAAGTTTTTAAATTTAGATATCTGCTGCAGGTATGAATTCAGTGTTGATTTTTACTTATATTGTTCGATTTTCTGCCTTTATAGTATTTTTTCAATATACGTCTGATAGTTTAAAACCAACAGGAGAAAAATGTAATCACAATCTTCGAGTATGTAGTCAACAAGTCCTGCAAATAAAATTTTGTGCACAAATCGACGTCACACTAATCACCGAAGCTAAAAGCTCCGCCCAGCCGCCATGTTGCATCGAAAATTAAAATTACAAATCATTAAATACTAATAATACAGTGGTAGTGTAGGCAATACACAATAACTATACATGTAGCAGAAACTCGATGCAATATGGCCGCCGATCGCAACAAACAATCAAAAATTAAACACTATTGTCGTCACTGTCTCGTAGTAAGTCACTGTAGAAAGACGTAACAAAAAAATGTTTAGCGCATTTTTTTAAGAATTAAAAAGAAATTGAGAAATTACTGTAACTCTGAGGAATAAATACAGATAAGAGGTGCCATAACCAAATCTTCGCATTTATAGTCAATCAATATCTAATGTTATTGTTTACGTTTTATGACAGTTAGAGGTCTAATAAAAACATAGAGGAGCGACAGTTCACACATAAGGTATGCCGAATAATTATATAACGTAAAAACGTTCAAAACATAAGGAATACTGTATTTTACAAAAGTAAACAACCACCTCTAATTGTCAATAGTATTACAGGGTTGCCAATGCTTTTTTAAAAACATCCAAAACTTTGTACCATTTCAGACTTTTCAACTTAACATAAATGATATAGGGATCATTATATAATCCTCCTCTGCACTCATCCTGATTTAGAATCTTTATAAAGATGCTATTACTCTCGTTTTAGAAATACATTTGTCAACCATGGACCAATTCATTCTTTACAAACAAATATATGCTGGTTACGATTTTTATATTACATGCGCCTCTAACTTTATTTATTCCTCTGAGATGGAAAACATTTGATTTTGAAATTTTTCTTGCAAATTTATGTAAAAGTATAGTTTGCCTCACATCATTGTTTTTCTTTTTTTTTGCCCTCTATCTCATTCTGTAAAAATTCAATGTGAAGGAAGTAGTAGTCTGTACTGTACCTTCTATGTGCTTGACATTGAACTGAGATTGAACTGATAGAGCTCTAAGACAAATAAGTTAGTGAACATCTACCAACTTGACCATATTCATAGAATAAGATCTTACCATGCTAAACCATATTAAAAACAGCTATTTCAAAACCACCTGTGGCTGAATGGCGACCTTAAGTGATGAAATATGCAGTTCCAACCCAATATTAGGTCCATTTAATAACCAAATTCAAAGAAGAAACCATGATGTGAATGTCAGTTGACCATATCTTCTGTACCAATAGACATTTTATTTAAATTAACACATATAAGTGTCTTATTTATTAAGAATGATTGACTCATAGTGACTCATTGTAAAAAACGTTTCAAATCAAAGGAATTTATCACGGACATGAACATATCAAATTAAAAGGTAATGAGAGAAGGTTCGATTTCTATTGCTAATTAAGGCTCTTTTAAATTTCTTGTCGGGTTTGTTTTGTTGACATTAACAATCTCGTTATCTTTTCAGATTTGTATGCGAAGAACTCATCGTAGCGGACGATTACTGGAATTCGACGCAAGCACAAATTACTTCCCTACCTCAATTACAGCACACGTTTTCTGTAAGCAACTCTAAAGTACAAATTTTACCGTCACATAGTTTAGGAACCATATCGTCTACCGTGTCAAAATCGGACGACGAAGATAAATTTAAATGTCTACGTATTTTGGTCGAAACGGCGGTAGCTGTAAGGCAGCGCGAGAAAGAGCAGGAAGATATTCATTAGGTTTATGCATAGTCTTATTTAAAAAATGTTGTGCCTTAACGTATCTCTCCTAGGATTGCTCAAATCATTGTACATTATTTACGATGTTACAACTTTATGAGATGTTTATTGTACCTTACTTCCTACTTTTCTAACTTAGTTTAAACATAAGAATTATGGCATAATAGTAATATCTTTAAGATGTAATTGTACGCATTTTATAGCAATCCGAAAATTAAGTACCAAGAATGGATTTTGTATATTGCACATTGTGCTGGATTAATTGTATTTGCATTGTACCATCTTCCATTGTTTATTATTCCACGTATACTCAGATGGATGTAAACTTAAAAAAAAGATAAACTGTGTGTATCACATTTTTTGAAAATTTATTGTAATATTTAACTGTCAGGCTGTTTTGGATGTTGCTGTGTTATATGATAAACTAACAAATGAATTTGGCATTGTGCGATTATTTGTTTTGTAGATTGTGAATTTAAAATAGTTGCATTATAATGCTATCGCTATACATTTTTTTGTCCCCTTTATTCCCATGAAGAATGAACCGAAACAAGTTAAACAACACCCTGCCAAAGTACCAAAAATTTTGGAAATTCATTTATCAGACATCCAATGCATTTTACTGTTGGCTATCTCTCTCACATATGTTTGCACAAATTTAATGGCTAGGCTATATCTATGGAATATACAGCCTCTTTTCAGAGTAAGCGCCTAAAAGAAAAATAAAATAAAAACGAAATTTAAAAAAATAAAAGGAAAATAGCAAAGAAATTAAAAATAAAATAAAATACCGACCTGTAGGTGGTGAGTGTATTGTGCTGGTTGTGCTTTGTTGTTGGGCTATTAGGTAAAACCCCTCGCAGATATCTGGATATATTCGTAGACTTTCAGAGTGCATGAGGCTATGATGCGGTCCCGGGTGATTATACCACTGAGTGATCTACTTGCTCGAGTAACCTTTTCCTATTCCCCCGGTGAGTTACTTAATTAATTGGAGAGGATCCCTTATGCATAGATTACAGAGGAGTTGAGTTTACTGCATATTTGTCGAACAATAAGTTCTGACCAACAATTAGCTCCCATTTAATTAGCTACTCCCCTTGTTCCTTGTTGTAAGTTGTTATATAAAATACCCCCTCATTACACAAAAATAAAATATAGGGAATGGGCATGGTTCCTTGGTCAGTACAGCACTGTTTCAGGCAGAGATGTTAGCCATCATGACCTGTGCACAGGACAACATCTGCAGAGTTTACTGTAATATGCATACAGTGCGTGGAAAATACGATTTTGCATGCAATTTTATTTCCCTGTTCCATTTATTAAAAAAACGCGTTGAAGTAGTTCAAATGTGTAGTAGGTGCAATGTAAAACTGTCACCTTCAAATCTACCGCCCTGTAGATAAATTTCAAAAATGCAGTCTAAAAAGATAAAAATTGAAATTTATACAAAGGTCACAACACTGTAAGACCGCGATTTACCTTGCAGTCCAGTATCCTGATGAACCAATACCTTCCATTTCAAGTTCAACGTACATAATCTAATTAATTAAAGGCTGGTTCAGTTGTGACTATATATAGCACAAATTTGTTTTCCAATATCTGTGTATAGTTGTGAACCGCACATATCCTATAGGTTGATGCGTTTTTTTAAAAATGGAACATACGCGGAAACACGTTTGTATGCAAAATCGTATGTCCACAGGAAGTAAAGATTGTTATTATTTTATTTTAGGTTTTAGGTTCACCGAGCGGAGGCGGCGTCTACAACGCAGGTAATTGGCGCACCACCACTAGGTTTGTAAGTATTATCTTGTAAGCATATCTGTGATATTGTGCGTTTCCTGTAGATTCCTAAACTTTGGCATTCTTGCATAATATGCTTAACAGTTATTTCCGCTCCACATTGAGCACGTCTATGTGTTTGTCCTCGTGGGAGCTGACTGTGTGTTAGTTTCGTGTGGCCAATACGTAACCGTGTTATTATAACTTGATCTTTGCGTTTCAGGTTTTCACTCTTACTATACCCACAAAAAAGGTCAGGTTGTATTATTTTCAACTGTGTTTCCACTGTAGACCACTGATTTTGCCATTTTTCTTTCATAACGTTTTTTATTCTGTTTAGCACATCTGGTACAGTTAGTTTAGTAATCATAACAGACGATGTTGATGAACCTGCTTCCCTTGTTGCCTTATATAGTTCCATAGAACAATATTACTGTTCTGTGTATAGTTCTAGGTGTACGTTGTCATTTTGAACTAACGTCAAAACCGTGCTTTCTTTCTCGTTTAATAGCGTTTTCGATTGGCAACACCCGTGCTGCACGAGTGCAATTTTTACGTTCTATTGGTAATTTTAGGGCAATTTTCTGTGTTCCATTGGCAAATGTGATGCAACAATTACGCACTCAGTGCAAATTTCGACGCACGAGGTCCGTGAGCTCGTGGAGCTGCTAGTTAACAAATTTTCAAAACAAACGTGCGACAATTTGAATTTGTTTCTTGCGTTGGGAGAGTTTTTTGTCGTCATCTAGCGATAGCGAAGATGATGAACTAGCCGTAACTTCTATTTTACAAAAAGTTGCACTTACTCATTAAACTGAACGCCAAAAATTGGCCCTTTACAGGAATTTCAAATTTATATTCCTCATCGTTTATCATAAATAATACTGAAATCGTTTGTCATTTTTTAGAATAGGGATTTGTCGATTACCTAAATCTAAAATGAGGTTATGGACAAATGACAACAAATATTTACGAATATTTATGTTCCATTGAGAGCAATTTTCATATGGATTTCTTCAGTCTCTCGTGCAGTACGAGTTTTGCCAATCGAAAACGCTATAACTTGTCCCATTGTTAAATAACTGTCCTTTGTAGGGGGTTGTCAGTAAACTAATTTTGCAAGGATTTTCATTTTGTTGTTTTTTATATACTCAGTGACATGGAAATTGCAACACCAAGAAGGAGTAGGAATTTTTTGACCAAACTTGGCAGAAATGTTGAACTACTAAAAGGTAACGATTGATTAAAATTTCATTCATATGGATCAAGTGGTAATGGCTTATTTGACAGTTCTTTCATTTTTTTCTACTAATTTTATATGGTGTATGTTTTGCGAGATTTTGTTCAGTTTTTATTGTTTTCGCTTTTAATCATTTCTTTTGAGGCTGTGATCATGCCTAGAATACGCCACCGTGGAATATACCGCGAATTAAGAGACGTCGACAGCTGTCGTATTGTTAGTTTGGACGCAAGTGGTTTTTCTGCCAGAAAAATTGCAAGTCACCTTAACCAAAGCCAATCCACCATGATTCGCTGCAGTCGGGCGTGGATTTGGGAAGGGGCAGGATCGTCGTAAAGAGGAAAGGGAGGGGGCAGTGAAGGGGGAGGGGGCAAAAAAGAACAATTGAAGTGCGGGATCGCCATCTTCGACTTATTTTATTTATTTATTTTTATTTTATTATCCCTCTCTTGTTTTGGGCCCTCAACAAGCATGCGCCCAATTACAGAGTGACCCGCATAATGCTATATTTAGAGGTGCCTCTGCAGAAGGTCTTAAGATGGTCTATACTACTCCGGTATTTACCTTACGAATTAGGAAAACTGCAGGAAAACCTAATTCGGAGTAGCCGGTAGAATGCTCGGAACAGGCCGAAGGTAATTTCCATCTCCGCCACAGATGAAAAATTCACCTCAACCCAGGTTCGAACACCCGACCTTCGGATTTATAACCCAATGCTCTTACCACTGAGCCATAATGGCAACAAGAGACCAATTTTCTAGTACCAGGTCAATTACCGATGAATGGTTAGCTAACGAAGGTCGTCCTGTAACACTTCGAACGGTTTACCACAGAATCAGACCTTATCGCTTGCAATCATATCGGCCACATCTTGTGTTTCCATTAACAGCCCAACACCGCCAGAAGCGTTTGGAATGGTGTAGGTTACGACTACGCTGGGACCTCGAGTGGCATAGGGTGGTTTTGTTTGGGTATGCACGATGACCGTATGAGGGGCAACCGAAGACGTGGAGAACGTCGCAATGTTGAATTTTCTGTTACGAGGCATGTGCACCAAGCTGTGGGGACTATGGTATGGGGTACTATAACTTATGGTAGGTCTCGTTCGTTACTCATTCGAGGTAGTATGAACGCCCAGCGATATGTGGATGACGTGATAGAACCCGATATTCTTCCACTTCTTCAGTAGTTGGAAGACCCACTCTTCCAGCAGGATAATACCCATCCCCATATTGAAAGACGTTCTATGGACCTATTTGCACATGATAATGTCAATTTCTTGCAATGGCCATCCAGATCTCCCGATATATCGCCTATCAAGCATGTGTAAGACATGAAGAGAAGACTGATGAACTTACCGCATCCTCCGCAGACCATGCAAGCTCTAAACGATGAATTACAGGTTGCTTCAGTTTCTTGGTACACAGTACCTCAAGAGGAAATCGACCGTCTGCTAAAATTGATGCTACGAAGAGTGAGGGAGTGCGTAACCAATAGGGAGGGACTATTATTATTATTAATAAAAATATGTTTATATTTCGTTCTTTTTCTTTTAAATTTTAATCAATTGTTACCTTTTAGTAGTTAAACATTTCTACCGCAAGTTTGGTAAAAAAATTCCTACTCCTTCTTGGTGTTGCAATTTCCATGTCACTGAGTATATTATTATATGCAGTGAGTCAAGCGGCGCCGAGGTTCCGATCGGCGGCGCTTGATTGCAGGCGAACTCTAGATAGATTAGGTGAGTCTAATAGGGTAAGCTGGATCTGGAGAAGGCACAATGAGACTTTGTGTGCCCAAGTGTTGCATGGAATACAGAATAGAATCAAACCACAGCAAGTGATATTCACATTATGCAATATCCGCAATCCATATATAGAAACTAAATGACGTACTTACTGCCAATTTAATTTAAAATTTCTAAATGTAGTCGCATACTGTCAAGAGCACGGCATACCAAAAGCAATGAAAGCAGAACCAAGGCATACAAGTTTGTTTCGAGCTTTAGTGCTAGAAAAATTTATTCATGCAATTTGCAGATAAATTCAAACTACAAATTAATATTGTCAATTGGCACGTAATTCATAAATCAAAGTTCTTCCCTTGAAGGTAACAAATAAAACAATGTTAGTATCTATTTTTTATATTGGAAATAACATGTACATCTACGAGAAAACGAAAGCAAATATTATCAGAAATATATCTCTAGAATTCGCTTCTTATAACAGAAGAAACAGAAATAATAAACAAATCAAAGAATATATACAAGATATAATGATCGAGTATTTACATTATGTGCAATAACTGTAATTGCACTATTGTAAATACTTACATTCGAAATGAGGGAACTAAATTTCTGAGACACATGAAATTTATGTACGAAAAACTCAGAAAACTCTGGAAAGTTTTATAAAAAGAAACAGTAACAAAATATAACATTAAAATCTGCTAACTGTGGCTACATACTATTTACAGTAAAAAAATTTATTTTAAAATTAGACACTATCCTATCAATAAATTAATCAATCAGTTCAACAACATCTGATGTGTTTACTTGAGGGAACATTTGCTGACGGAGATGTTGTTGGTACACATGCATTTGCTGCTGCTGCTGTTGCTGCTGGAACTGTTGCTGTCTCTTCAAATACTCTTGGAAATTCTTTTGTTGCTTTACTTGCATAGTTCTTATCTCTTCAACAACTCGTTCAAATAGCTAAAAAATAACAGTATGGAATTTTAATCAATTCTAGATTATTTACTTTTATCATTTTTCATTACTTGATATGTAGTTCAAACAAATAACTTTGTCATAAAGTTTAGGAGTTCTTTTTTTAACTGATTTATCTATTTAAAAAAATATTTGAAAATTTGACAACTTAACCCCTTCCCTAAATGTTATCCAAACATTTCGCTTAAGTAATAACATCCACAAAACAAACTCGTACCAAAAGCTTTCCTTCGTCCACTTGGGTTCTTAGCTGCTGTACTATCGATGGCACAACACACATAATTTGATCGCTACTCCAATTGGGATTATCTCTTTGGACAATACTTCTTAATGCTACGTGAATACTCGATATTGGAAGATTCCTTATCCAACCTTAAAAGACCAAATTCAAGTAACCATGTAGGATTTACTGATGCAACTTACCTAAGGTTGATGCATTGACTGTAACTCGAGTTGTTTTTTCATGTTCAAATTCTTCCCAAGCTGCTTTGCGTTCGGCTTCATTTAATTCTTCGTCCTCTTTATTTTCAAGTAATGATTGATGTTCATGATATTTAAAAATACGATCCCTCTCCTTTTGTAACAGCTCACCCAAAAGGACATCCTTTGGAACGAGAGGTATTATATCCTCATTTGGTTCGGGATCAAACCTACAGAATTAATTATAAATGTGCAAAGTTAAAAAAAGGTGAAATTACGTATATAATTCGGCTAGATCAGTTTGATTATAGTGCCTATCAATCTGTTGCTCATCAATGACTCTCTTCGAAATTGCCTGCTTTGTCACCTGTCTTTCATATATCTTTGTTTCCATTGTTCCCTTAGAATGAGAAAAAAATAAGTTTTTTTATTATCTTACAAAATGTATTGATAAGTGACATAAAATACAGGAAAACTCACCCACATGACAAATCTGTAGATGTAGCACGGTTTTGTTTGACCGAATCTATAAACCCGATAGATGCTTTGCGTATCATGTGATGGATTCCAAGACACGTCGAATATAACTACCCTGTTGGCCCCCACTAAGTTTATGCCAAGACCACCGGCTTTAGTTGATATTAAAAATAATCTACAAATTAAACAAAATCAAAATATGGTAAAAACATTTTTTTTGTTTATTTAGTTCATTGATATGTTATACCACACAAAATTCGTCACTTAAAGTAATTTCCATCTTCAATAATACTAAAGTTACTCATGCAATCCCACCGGCATCTGATAAAATGACAACATAGTGACAATAAGTAAGATAAGATTCTTGAAAAAACGATAACAAATTGTGAGTTCCAAAAAAAGGTCCGCATCGTGGGACATAAAGATCTCTTGGATTGGAAATTCTATAAAATGATCGTGTTCCAAATCACTGTATCAAATGGCTCACCAGCACATAATCAAATAAATAACCAAAAATTACCGTCATACATAAACAAAATGGATTACAGAATTTAAATTTAAATACTGTGGGTTTATTTTATTTACAATTAATTAAGAACAAATTTATAACAGTCTCAAAATGGATCAATTTATAACAGTAATTATTATTTTACACGCACATATGCACAATTTATAACAGCGTGAACTATTTATTACTTTGACGTTGAAATGGGAAGACACACCATTCGATTTGCTTTCCCATCTGCCCTATTTTGGTTGAGACTTGCGGTTTTCGCAATCCTGTATCAGTTTGTGAAACTTTTAATACTTACCACAAACAGAATCAATCCAGTGACGTTTGTTTCTGAGATAGGAGGATGAAAACGAAAAGTTTCACTTTTTGAGATGTTATTATAATGTTACTATCCATGGAAGATAGAAAAAACTATTTTAGATATTTTTACCTAGAATCCAGTGGCGTAGTAAAAAAATTTTGAATCACTGATTCTGAGATTTGACAGAAAGTCGGTATTTTTTTTTTTTCCAACATCCTGAATATTTTAATGTCAATTTTTTGTGTGCTTTTTCCTGATTACATTAATGTATCACAACCTATATTTTTTAAGTAATTACATATTTTTGAAAATTTGAAATGACATGCGTTTTATTTTTATTTTTTTATTTTTTTATTTTATTATCCCTCTCTCTTGTTTTGGGCCCTCAACAGGCATGCGCCCAATTACAGAGTGACCCGCATAATGCTATTTAGAGGTGCCTCTGCAGAAGGTCTTAAGATGGTCTATACTACTCCGGTATTTACCTACCTTACGAATTAGGAAAACTGCAGGAAAACCTAATTCGGAGTAGCCGGTAGAATGCTCGGAACTGGCCTAAGGTAATTTCCATCTCCGCCACAGATGAAAAATTCACCTCAACCCAGGTTCGAACACCCGACCTTCGGATTTATAACCCAATGCTCTTACCACTGAGCCATAAATCCGACCGTTGAATGAAGGTGTCCATTTGTAGTTTGTTGAATGATAAATGATTTAGAAAACTGAACAAACTAGGTTTCGGGACTAATTCCCATCCTGATGATGGGAATTAGTCCCGAAATCGATCGCCTTTAGAGAAAAAATTTTTATAAATAAACCTAGTTTGTTCAGTTTTCTAAATCATTTATTGAAATGACATGTTTCTACCATCAGCCATTTTTATTGAACGATACTAGCTGCCTTAATTACCATTGATACAATGAACAAAACAAAACCTCCCAAAATTCATGGCCTACTATTTGAAAACACAAAAAAAAGTGTTCATGGCTAAAATTAAGAAAATATGGGTTGTGATCTAATCAGGAAAACAATTGACCTTAAGATGTACAGGGTATTGCATTTAAAAAATACCAACAATAGGTCAAATCTCAGAAACTGTGGTCCAAAGATTTGTTTGACTATGACACTTGTTTCTACGTAAAAGTATCTAAAATAGAAAGTTTTTATGTTTTTGGCTATCTTACATGGGTAGTAAGTTACGATTACATCCTAAAAAGTAAAACTTTTCATATCTCAGAAACAAACGTAGCTAGATTGATTCCGTTTATTGTGGTATTAACTATCTTTAAAAACAGCTGAGATATACTTCAGCCTCAACCAAAATAAGACCCACTGCGCAATATTATCCAAAAATGTTGAAACTTGTAGTTCAGGGCAGAAAAAGAATGTGAACTGAAGCTATACACCTGCTGAAAGATAATGCTGGCTTAGAACAAAATGGCAAAAGGAAGCAGAGGGAAGTATGAAAACTGCAGCCTACCTAGCATAAAAAAGCGACCTTGAAAACGGAAATGCATTATGATGGTGTAAAAACAAGAGAGGACTAGGTGAAGCCGTGAAGTGGGTCATTTATGATACATCTATGTAATAGCCAAATAAGGCATAACAGTAACGCCATTATGGAACCCTTGTGGCAGGGACCTAGCGGAAGTTTCAGTGGCAGTACAAGCGGGATTGCCACTGATCATGGAATTTAAACAAATAGTGGAGCATGGTATGATTCAAAACTGGTAAAATGTCATTGGATGCAATTCAAATTCATTGTATGAGATAGCACACATACCAACAAAAGAAGCGAGTTTCTATTAGAATCCTTAGTATATAAATAGCCAATAACAGAGGAATCCACGTGGATTTTCTGCATGTTAGAAAACAGAACATCCACACTGCTGTCAACGAGAACACCATAGGTATTATCTCAACAACTATGTCTATAGAGAGATTTTTTCTGTTAACGCCTGCGCCCAGATGTTAGAGAGTAATTTTGAAAACAGGAAAATCTCTATAGTAATTGATAACCAGGTGAGATTAAAAGGACCCAAGAAGTAAATTTTGGTTTTGTGCTGGAGTGCATTTGCGACCTGGGCCAGCTTGTGGAAAGTAATTAATACCATGAAACAGATATGGGTGCCTGGGCTTATTGCTATTAAAGGTAATGAAGAACTGACTTTATTTGTTTAAGTGTTACTTACCTAGCACGCAAATTGTCCTTATCATTAAATCGTTTACAACAATGTTGTCGATTATCACAAGACGTTGAACCATCTAACCTAAAGTAATCTTGACCCAAGCTCCACGAACCAGAAAAACCACACACAGTGTCATGCTTATCTTGCTGCGTAGCATCATCAATTTTGGCCAAAAAATATTCGATTATATTTAACGATAATAAAGACTGTGAAAATACTAATCTGTAAATTAAGAAATTGCAAATGAAAGAATTCTATTTGAAAAACGAACACTTACAATTTATCTCCTATCAGTTCGCATTCCTCTATAATTTTAAATAGTAGGTAAAGTTTAGTGCTTAGCCCAATGTTTTCATAGTCCTCATCACTGCAATACTGACTCCACCATCCTTGAGGGGCTGTACTTCTTTTTTCCACATCTGAAATCCAAATTAACACATTGAAGTTTTAATGTTTGTTTACCAATTGTTTGTGCAGCCGCTGAAGTTCTAGTCATGCGTTTCTGAGGTTTTTTGGTGTTTTTTTTTTTAGAATCCGTCGATTTGTCAGAAACTTCGCCATCTGATTCGCTAGAGCTACTGCTACTGGACTTTTCAGATCCGTCATCTATGAAATCTTTTAGAGAACCTTCAGAATCTTCGTCTGTAGTTAGCAAATCCTACAACAATTTTTTTAATTAGAACAGTGTAGTGTCATATTACAAAGTTAGGTGAGGGAGACAGTTGCACCGGAGCTTTTGGCTTGTGTGGCGGTTCTTCGGAACCGTCAACAAGGAATTAAGATAATTATAAAAATTTTTTTATTACAATTCTGTTTTTTTCATTTCTATTTTATTTATTTCTAAGGTTCATAATCCATTAATCAATCACATGCTGGTATTGCATTACATCAGACTTTCTCAATCTTATAACTTATATTTGGGGTGCATATAGGGTGGTATGGGGAATCGAAAATGTCCTATTTTGGTTTTGATCCGTAACCATCTTCAAGGTTGTTGAGGGTGTCAAAATTTTAAGAGACATAACGGCATGAAAAAATTTTTTTTGCATACACTGGCCAAAATGGCTTAAAAAACTCTACAAAAAAGTTCATTACAATTTTTTTGTGAGTTCCTTTGTTTCTGAGAAGTTTTGATTTGAAAAACTATTTATTTTATTTTCATAAATTTCATTTTTCTCTAAAAGTAAGCATCAGAGTGAAAAATGTCAATTACAAAAAAGATGTGTCTTGATGAGATCTACAAAAAAGGTTTCTACACTTTTTGCGTCGGGTTCAAAATAAAGGCGGTAGAGGGCATTTTCTAAATGTTATACTATGACCCATGATACTACAACTTAACAAGATATGATCACTAGCAGAACGCATTTCGAACAGAGTCGCGCATGACGTCACCGTGTGACAAACTTACCGCAGGAAATCAGGCAAAGACCGGCTTTTAATGTAATTTCTTTAGGATTTTTATTGCTAATAAATAATAATTTATATTTTCCGTTGACGGTAAGTAAGTTCGGTGTCATAGAGTAATAAAAACCACCTTCTAAATAGGCTATTTAGACTAAAGACAGACAGGTGACAGACGAATATGGAGCATATTATTTTTATAAAAATAATTGTGGAGAAAAGCAAGAAAAGGGTTTTTATTTGTTACTCAATTGAAACGTTTTTTTACTTTCTCGATTTGCTGACCTGTAAAAATTTTACTAGTTAATAATATATGAGAATTTCATTGACAACAATTAGTGCGTAAGCGTTGTTACATGGATTGCGATATAGACATTTCTTCGAGATCAATTAGAACTGATTGTTTACGTTTACTAATTGTTTATAAATGAGTAATAAATAAAATATTGTACATTATACGCCAGGTAACTTCTATCGCCAGTAAAAACTCACCTACCTGGCTAATAATGTAAAATACTATTCGCATACTAGAAGATAGTAAATAGGTACTATCGAGTATTCTCGTAAAAATTTGGTTTATATGAAAATATGTTATTTTTTAAAATTAAACCAATCATTATCGATAATTTCTTGTTTAGCTTAAATTTACGTTGCAGAGATTATTTGGTAAATACTCATATCGAAATGCCCTTCTGATTAATAAATTCCAGATAATTATGCTAGTGGTGTTAAATTCGCTCCTACTACGCCATCGGGAATTTTTCTGACGTAGACAAATTTCCTTATCGTTTGAGAAGCTAAAATACCGGCAGCTCGACAGAGTTTCTATTATTGTTAATTGTTATTGGTACAAGCTTCAACGGCACAGTACACCATGATTGTAGAATGTACTCGTATTTAAAATAAACCGTACAGCACTACAATCACAAAATTTCACGAATTAAACTAAAGGAAACAAAATGAAATGCGGGCATTCAAGCACTATACTAATAGACGCGCCAAAAGTTTGTCACGCGCTGACGTCAGCGGAGGAACGGAGACAGAAGAGATCGTGCGCGTGATCATATCTTGTTAAGTTGTAGTATCATGACTATGACCAAAGATAATAAATTGCAATGACTATTAAAAGTAGTCGGAAAGTCAAGCCAGGAGTTTACCTGACAACTAGTTTTAAATGCTTTTGTGAAATTTTTGTTGTAAAGACTCATCCTTCATCTCTTTACTAACTGTAAAAAAGCAAAAAAATAATACTAGGGGTGCCGCGAATTTTGTTTAATAATTTTCGTGCTGCCAGACAAAAAAGTTTGAGAAACACTGCTCTAAGACTTCAGCTGAATTATGACAGATGACGGAGCAGGCACTTGGTGGTCTTCGTAAGATCCTTTTGAAAGACCCGAGGCAAAAAGTGGGGGCACTGAGGCAGATGTATGTCTACCGCGGATGAGGCTCGGCCATATATCAGCAATAAAGCAGCGAATTTTTGCTTGCAAGTGGTCCAACATTTTTTTGTTGGCATAGACTAGCAACTTCACATATCCTCACAGAAAATCAAGCTGTGATAGCACAAGATCATGGAGGTCAATTCACAAGACCATTACGCGAATTTATGTACTTAATGAACGGTTCCTGCAATAAATTGATTGTTTCGTGCGCTCTGTGGTATGTTGCGCCGTCTTGTTGAAACCAAAACTCTTCCATATTAACGCCATTCAATTGTGGAACGAAGAAATCATTAATCATGGACTCTCCAATGACTGTCACATTCTCACAAAGTTGATGTTCCAAAAAATATGGGCCAATGATTCCTGACCAAAAGCACATCAAATACTACAAGTACTTGTTTGTGGATTTAGCAATGGTTTCTGGATTTTGAACATCCAAATCCGGAAATTTTGTTTTGATGTACCCACTCAACCAAAAATGAGCCTCATCACTAACCACAGTTTTTGGACCATTCGCCCGACGTGCGTCGCAAACGATGGATCACGGGGCTTTCATTCTTGCACGAGTTTCTTCAGTACGCACTCTGCAGATGCGCATTATCAATTTGAGTACAAGTCATACGAAAACGATTCATGATTATTCAATTATGTTGCTTGGATGAACGAATATGTCGACCGTAAAATGGAGGTAGTGCCTCGGTAAGTTTTGCGAAGTGAACCATGATTTTCGAAATAAATTTCCACAATTTGCAAGCGTTGTTCTGCTGTTTAGTCTATTCATGGTGAAATAGTAAACATTACTGAGCACAATCAACTGTTAGCTGTCAAATTGAAACTACACAGTATTGCCAATTTGAAAAACAAACCGCTAAAAACACTCTATTTTAGAAAATCCTGCCGCTGAATAGAGAGAACACACTAGACAAAAATTGGCTACTCCAATACAAATAATCAAAGGCGCACGAATACAACTAGTTCTACATCTTTTTCATTTTTGCTGTTGTGAAAAATAGCCATGATCCATAAACATGAAAGAGGCAACAACACAAGTATTAGGAGAATGTCGCTGGTGCTTTCATGATGGTATTTTTTTGCCTTTTTTTGAGTGGGTAAAGTTTCTACCAATACCGTTCTACTAACCCTACCCCCTATACATTTACAAATATCCATGCCCAAATCCGGATTTGAACCATGGATCCACAGCTTTAACTAAACTGTGCCACATGGATTTCTGAAATAAGACCCAAAGCAGTTTTTGTGTAGAATAAGCTGATGCAGTTTAGGGTGATTTGTAAAGTGTTTATAACATGCATCTTCTTTTTTGTATATGGCGCACCCAGTACACATTTAAATTTTCTTGAGGCCCTTAAAATGCTTTACAAAAATATGTAGTTATACTGCATTCATTATAAGAAGATAGTAGATGGCGCTGTGTTTGAAGATAAACACACACAGGAAAAAAATAAAATGGCACCAAATTATTGTACAGTAGAAATATCCAGCACTGCAAACAGAAATAAAGGTCCACGCAAACCGACGTCGGACATGCGGATGCGGGAGCGGTACCGCATGCGGGAAATATCTCTACAGCGGGATATGCGAGCACGCCCATCGATGCGGCGGTTCGCACGCATATACCGCTGTAGAAATATTTCCCGTAACCGTACCGCTCCCGCGTCCGCATGTCCGCGTCGGTTTGCGTGGACCTTAAATCTTTGATATTTCAACAGTTTAGTTGGCAACAGAAACTACCAGCTTGCAAAATTCGCTACTCGTTTTATGTTTCAGTGTAATACTGACTCGTGTTTTAACCAATCACACTGAAAGTCAAAGTTTCCCTATGCTTTCTACCGCTACCTTCTTAAAATGAATACAGTATAAAGCTACATATAAAAATACAGAATTCTATTATAGAAAAATGTACGGGCTACCTTATATTGAAATAAATGGCACTAGTTTTACACCCTAAACTGCTATCAGAATGTGTTTTCTAAAATTATCTATACAGGGTGTTTACGATCTTCTCTGTATCCTTTTAAGGGGCGCCAGTACAGCTCAAAAGAAGTCGACAAACCACTCCAAAACACCTTAGTAACAAGTACCTATAAATTGTGCACAACTCTTGTGCAGATAAACCACATTTTTTTTAACCGAAATAGCTTTTGTTTTGACATCACCAATGGATATATTTCTTGCAGACATTTTAATCGCCCTTTGTGAGTACCCTCTTCTGACAATCCGTTTTTAACGTATAAGGGAATATACCCGATCACGATAAGAGGTCGAGGCGGAGGGCTATGGTTGGTAGAAATTAATTCCTTCCATTGAGATCTTTCATTAGAGTACCATTAAAGATAAAACTAGTTCCACTCCCCCTCCCCCTCCACCCGTACTTTGATACCATCCACCCGTTTTCTAGTTTAACTTGGCACCACTGAGACCAAGTTGGTTGTCGTATGTAAAAGTTATGCACGTTTTACTTTCAAAAACAGCCTCTCAGGAAATAATTCGTGGGGTTGGGCCCCCCTTTTAGATAGCGAAATTTGATGGCACGCCTTGAAGGTATAGGCTACCTACTGCAAACAATTCCAGAACTCTAGGACCATTCCCCTAAAAGTAGTTCGAAATGGACAAAACACAAATAATAATAATATTTTTTTTTAATTCTTAAAAAATGCCCTAAAAAATAATTTACCTAAGTGAACAATGCTGATTAAGTAGTAGATTGCTCGATTTGTACACTGATTAATCGTTTAATGTAAAAAATAAAACAAATATTATCTCGCTTATTAGATAACTTTTACTAAGGTGTTTTGGGGTTTGTCGACTCTTTTTGAGCTGTACTGCCGCCCCTTATAAGGATACAAAGAAGACCGTAAACACCCTGTATAATAACAGTGGATCATCCAGAAATCACCAAATTCTAACCAAGTTTTGTTAGGCGAGTAAGTTTCACATCAAATGATTCAATTTCGTCGAGTGCAAATATAACCCTCAGAAATATTAGATGTAGCAATATCTAAACAGTTTATACAATGTTGAAATAATAATATACCAACCTTTGCCTGCACCTCCCTACTTTTCATTAAAAGTACTCGCGGATGAGTACAAATTCTTTGGAATTGTTGAAAATCTTTGAATAGAAATGAAGATTTTATTTTTCCCTCCGATGGCTTTTGTGAAAAGTTACTCTTATAATGTTGGTATAATTTAATTTGTACAGGAGTAAGCTTTAAAAATAACACATATTCATGCTTCGGAGGTAGATATGGCGTCAACACGCAATAGTCTTTTCTCTAAAAAATTGAATCAAAATATTTACAGATTAGAACTATCGAAATATACCTGTACTATGCCGTCCAGCATTGTATGCAGCACGTGAGATCGTTTTCGCATAATGTTTATATCGTGAGGCGTTGAATCTGTGTACTGTCCATTAGTGATAGGGTTGACAAATCTGTTTATATACTCTTTATAAGTTCCTAATAAATTTGGTTTTACGAATTGAACCATGCAATAATATTCCTTCAAATTATTTTGCATAGGGGTTCCAGTAAGTACTATTCTTCTTACACTACGAATTCTATTCATTGCGATACTTAAATTTGTTTTTTCATTTTTTAGAAGATGACCCTCATCACACACAACTAAATCAGGTCCTAAAATGTACAATGTATGACATACATGTCGTTAAAGAGCATTTACCAACCCGGATTGACAAGGCCTCTTTGAAAAATTTCTCTGGCTTTCTTTTTCAAGCGTTTGTTTGTTGGATTCGTTAAATTTCTAAACATATCGTAACCAATAATTAAAACGCCTCCCTCTTTATACCAATCTTCGACTACAAATTCTCGCGCGTTGTTTTTACTGGACACCATTTCAAATACGTTTATTTCAGGTCCCTCCACATCACGCAACCATCTCTTGTATTCAGAGTCCCAATTCAAAACTGTGTTTAAAGGGCACACAACCAACACATTCTTAACGTTAGTAATTTCATCATTTGTTAAAAGAGTGTGTGTCAATGCAATAACCTACAACCAGTGTCAAATTAAACAATTAAAAAATAACACAGACATCACCTGTAAAGTTTTTCCAAGACCCATACAATGAGCCAAAATACAACCGGAACCTGCAGTAGATTTGGCCCTCTCCACTGACTCATAACATGTGTCCCACATGAATTGAACACCCTTTCCTTGATGGGGCTTTAGCTTTTTGACAATAGTTGGGTTCACAGACAACAGTTCTTTTTTACTTTCCACGTCAAAATCCAACACTAGCTTCTCTAAAGTCGCATCTTTAGGTTCGTCGAAAATTTGGTTATACTGAAATTTGAAACATTTACAATGAATGTTACCATAGATTGGAAGTTAAACCTTCTTTTGGCGCTCCAGTATGCGAGCCTTCCTTTCTTTTTCTTCCTTTTCGGCTTTCTTCGTTGATTCAGCAAGAGACTCGTGGCCGATCACTTTCCTAATGGTCTTTCTGGTGGATTTATCCTCATCGTCACTACTGTCATTAACTCTTTTAATTCTACGACGTTTTTTACTAAAATAAAAGCTTAAAATGAATACACAATATTGTACGTAATATTATATGACTTACGTCTCCTTGACTTTCTCTTCTTCTTTTTCTGACTCGCTGCTACTACTACTGCTACTGCTGCCGCTTGCTTGATATTCTTCGTCTTTTTCGTCCGAATCAGATATAATAGTTATCTTTTTTGAACGCCTGTTAAAACATTATTTAATATTAGGTCTTTCTGAGCAATTCTATAATGTAAGCGGAATAACGATAAACATGAAGACAGATTTTATTATGGCGGGCTAAGGCAGCTTAATTATACCAGAGTACCCAAATAATAAATTAATAGCTATCTGAGATAATTACATTAAAAAAACCTTGAGATGCAATTTCTGTTAAAATCGTAAAAATCCGGCCACAAATATGAAATATAGCTTTGCATAGGTGCAATCCATTTTTGACGTGCTACTTCAATTTCAGTTTATAAGAAGAATTTCATTTCAATGCTTTCATAAATAAGAAAGTTGGCACTGCCCATCCCCAAACCTAAATTTTGAAACTAACGTTAGATTTTCCTTTGTTCCAAGTGGTGAGGTATCAAATTTCGTTTAAATGCTTCCATGATTAAAAAAGTTGACACTGCGCATGCGCAAAACCAAATTTTAAACGATCTCTAGGATCGTTAATAAACGGCAAAAGTGTAAAATTATGGAATACGAAAAAAACGGTTTTTGGTTTTTTTACAATAACTTTTTTAGCAATAAACGCAGAAAAAATTCCTTCCTTTGTGCAAGCCTCGACACCATAACGAACCAAATAGCGAAAAAAGTAGTACAATAGCTCTTAAGATAAAGAACTAGTTGCGTTTCAACAAACGAGCGAACGGACTGACGGACGGACAAAGTGGCCATAATAGTGCATTTTTTTTTATTTTTGTGGAAATGCGCTAAAAAGTTACGTGAAAATACTCGAGCGCGTCAGGTATCGATAGTGGCCCACGTGTCTCTGATATTGGAGGTATGTTAATCTGCCGGTTTTCATGGTGGGGGAGGCTGTACGTAAGGATAGAAAACGGGATTTACCTTAGACCATATAGTGCATGGACTGCTATTAGCCCTATGCTTTCAATACAAAATGGGTGGTCACGGATAGAGGGCACTGTAGTCGTGGGTATGTGAATCTCAGAGTAAACTAAAGTCGTATGAACACCACTCGGATTGCGTAAAAAGCAGCTTTTATGGTAACCGCGTAGTACGGGAAGCTTTAAATACTCTTGATTATCCTCAATACGTCCACAAATTAGAACAGGTTTGCTTTTTTTGCGATATCTAGGCGATTAATTAATTGACATTTGTTAATTTATAGGTTGACAGTCTCAAATCGTGTCTCATCGGACAACTTCGGACAGACTCGTTTACCCTGAAACTCACATACCCAGGCGATGTCCTTGACCATATTTTAGTTACAATTAGCAGTCCATGTACTATATGGTCTAAGGGATTTACTCGAGCGCGTCAGATATTTGGAACGTTGTATGTATAATTTATGACACGACCGCCTATGATCTCTGTCAACAGACATGCTTCAACAGCTACTGAACGCATTGAACTTTTCTTTCGAAATAAAAAAAAAATTCAACGGGCCGAGAATGTCAAGGTAACGTTTTTTTTTGCAAGTTCCCTTCGTCATATTATTGAAATGCACACTTTTCAACATGTAGTCAACCCACCTTACTTTAATTTGACACGCTTGAATAAATTCCAAAATCCCTTATTAGGCTCCCGTACTACCATTGTTACTGTTCAATAAACGCCCATTTAAATTATACAGTGTTTAATTAGAGTGTACACTACCCCTTTTCCTTTTTATCCCCTTACTTTTACATCTGTATGTATAAAACATTTTTCCCAAAAAAGTCATTTGCCTAAAAACTATGACATGTTAAAGGCGTAAGTAGAAATCTGTGTCAAAAGGATACACGTATGAGTGCCACATAATCTATCCAAGAAAAACAAAATTAACCAGTGTACTTGTCTAAACTTGTTTTGTGAAGGAAAATACAAAACCATTTTTTAAAAGGCAAAGGGTAGTGCCTCTCTCCAATAATATATGTATGTACAGTGTGTAAAGCGATGGGGTATACAAGAGGGAATTTTTTTTAGATATTGATTTATGAAAAAAATTTATTCTTCATGATACTTTTTGCTTGCTTTGAAAGTACCAATAACGTTTCAATTGTTTGTGGTTTGATAGCAATACGCTATCTTGATTATAATGTATGAATGATAACTATCAATAAAAAAAATTAATTTTATTATTTTTCCAGATTCCTATAAATAAATTTTAGATTATCAAAACGTTATTGGTACTTTCAAAGCAAGCAAAAAATATCATGAAGAATAAATTTTTTTCATAAATCAATATTTAAAAAAAAATTCGCTCTTGTATACCCCATCGCTTTACACACTGTATAATAAATTTCGTGCATGCGCAGTACACAAGTATGCATAAAGGGAAATGGCGGGAGTGTGCAGAGGTTTAGTAATTGTCAACACAACGAAGTTCTTGTTCTAATTCGCTGGACAATTCCTAAATTTACAACAACCAAGCCTGAGTTCGTCTAATCGCAATTCAGATTAACAGTGAGACCTCTGGTGGCAGCACATTGTAATTAATATTGGTGGGATAAGAACACCATTTCGTTTATTTACAATGGCCAAAAGAAATCGATATTGTAGTTTTTATGGCTGCAAAAGTAAATACACTTGCAAAAATTTCATTTACAATCAATACACCTTAAAGAGCAAGGATAGTTTAAAACGTCCATTTTATCGTTACTACCCAAATCTAAGGCACTAAAGGCACCTTAAAGCTCAGTAGAGACTTGTACTACACAGCCAATTCTGCAACAGAAATGGGAGTACATATCGGATATGACAACCAGTCTCTGCCATTACGTAACAATATTCCAAGGCGAGGTTTTGCAATTGACGTCTGTACCCACATTCTACTGGAGAGATACTTTGGTAACAAATGAACCTCAATTGTAACAAGTCGGGTAATGAAAGTGCTGTATGTGAAATCTGGCTCGATACTGGAGCGCATCCCAAACCTCGACTAGCTGGCGGAAAAAAATATCAAGCTGATGTGGGTACCCGAACCGTCTTCTGTTAATGGTAACGAAATGGCCGACAGGATAGTCATAGAAGATCAGCAGTTACTTTTATAGAAACTTTACCAGCATGCGGAATAGCACATAAAATAACAATTGTGAGGCGTTTAATACATCAACACACGTTCCCGAAAAGGAAGATTCATCTTTCAGTAAGACTTTTTCAAAGAGACAGATATCTTAAGGACGTGAGAATAAACTCTTCCAAATAGAGGAGGGAGGTCTCGTTTAATTCATCTTTTCTACTCTCCACTGTAATCTCAAAGCTACGTCAAAATTTCTCTTTTCTTAAATTACAAAAAAACACGTCATTTGCTAATGTGAGACAAAGGAAATGTTTACTAAAAATCAAAAAATTACCCAAGGGGAAGTAACACAGGTTCGCTCTATCCAAAACCTGGACTGTAAAGATATAGGCATTCTTGAAAGGTAGATAATACAGGGGAGCACAAAAGATGTGTGCCTGTAGTGCAGGAACCATCTGTGACTACTTCTAATACAAGGTGTCCTATAATAAAGGTCATAGGTCATATCTACTATGGAACCGTTAATTGCAGGGCTTGGGGAAAAAGATTTTGTTAACAAAGAGGCCAAAAGAAATCGCTGAAAATTATTATAAAGTTTTTAGGTTTGCCGCTAGAGGGCGTACGATTAATAGATACGTTAAAGTCACTAAATATAGAAAGTACCGCAATCATCCGCCATTTTTGGGCAAATTTACTGCCAACTTAAAAAAATTGACAAATAAAATCTGAATACCTGTCATTTTTTATAACCTAACTCCTCGGGTACTGTCATGTTTTATAAAAATATATACAGATATCTCCAAACAGGTGGAACAATCCCTAACATTAAAGTTACTAGAATCTGGTAACTTCCGCCATTTTT